GTCTGCTGTAATAAATATCGGAGAAAGATAGCCGCCTTTGGGAAAGCGTTGCGAAAAAATAGAACTGTTAAAGATAATCGCGATATTCAAATTTACTTACCTACATTGGGAATAGAATTCGCTGGTAGATTTGAGAGAGCCGCTGAAATGATGTCTTAACATTATACAATTGTATAACGATTCGTTGTATTTACATGATTTTCGTTTTTGTTTATTTCGAAGCCATGGCAATTTTTTACGTCTGTCTATCATAAACTTACAAATCCGAACAGTAGGATTATCATACGGTCGTCATTAATACACAGTGTTTCAATTATTTAATTAGCTTATACATGTATTTAATTAGCTTATGCTTATATATCTTAAAAGTAATTTTATTGGATCTTCAGGAAAACGTTTTCTGAATTTTCCCGTAAAGAAATCGCTCATACTTATCACAATTTTTTTGTACACCGAGCATTAAGCCGGTCCATAATCATTGTTGAGTCTATTGAACGTCCTTTCAATAATAGCTGTGAAATAAGGCATTGCCAGTAACATTCCTAGGCCAGTTTTTACCTTTGGCTAAAAAAACTTCTTAAGTTTCCGCTTGCTGCATTAATGCATTATTTTCAAAGTTAACCCGCTTTTTAGGGTTCCGTACCCAAAGGGTAAAATGGATCCCTATTACTAAGTGCTTAAACACGTTACTCGCGGGCGCGGTCACGAAATATCAAACATATGACTTAACTAACATAAGACTACTAACTACTACTACTTAACTAACTAAGACATATAACTAACATAAGACTCCGCTATTTGTCTGTCTGTCTGTCCGTCTGTCACCATGATGTATCTCATGAACCGTGATAATAAGACAGTAGAAAATTTTACAGATGATGTAATTCTATTGCCGCTATAACAACAAATACTAATAAACAGAATTAAAAAATGTTTAAGTGGGGCTCCCATACGACAGACATGACTATTTTGCCGTTTTAATAGATAAGGAATGGAACACTTCGGGCGCGAGTCCGAATCGTAATTGGCCGGTTCTTATAGATAATGGTACGGAACCCTTCGTGCTCGAGTGCGTCTCGCACTTGGCTGGTTTGTTTTAAAGTGCGCAACAGTTCGACTTGGATACTTCCTCCATACTGCTTTTTCTATTGTAGAACCGTTTGGTGTAACAATAAAATAAATAACACTGGTGATTGGTCTTTGCCAAATCTCACTTCTGATGAGAATGATAACGATCTGAGCACGTTACTCGGAATGTTCGAATCCCGCAGTACCGAAGGCCCAGTCATCTCCAAAATTTAACTTTTTAAACTCCATCTTGAGTATAGAGACCAGTACTAAAAATAAAGTTAACCATAAAAAGATAAAGAAGTAACAGCCTATACGTGTCCCACTGCTGGGCAAAGGCCTCCTCTATACAGAGGGTATCAGGGCATAGTCCACCACGCGGCCACACTGCGGATTGGCGGACTTCACATATCTTCGAATTTTATTTTGTTATTATTTCGAATATATGCAGGTTTCCTCACGATGTTTTCCTTCACCGCGGAGCACGTGATAAGTCAGCACTTAAAGTTAAAAACTTTATTGGTGCCGGCACCGGGGATCGAACTCAGGTTGCTCGAGTATATTGAATTAAAGGTGCACCCGGACGCTGAGCTATCACGGCTTGATCATGATAAAAAGATTAAAGGATCCAATATCACGGAAGATTGCGACCACGTGTTCCCGTGCCGATGCGACATAGACGGGTGCAACGTCGGTTTTAGTGGGTACCCGTTTTTAACGGGATTTCCATATACCCCTGCCACTTCCCGGATCCAGTGGCAGGGAATCCATAAAGGATTTTTCCCATGAAAAAAAAAAGCGAGCAACTAAAACAACTGCATGATTTGCGCTATATTGTTGACGGCTTGCTTTGCTGATGCAGCGCTATATTAAAAGCCTCGGTAATTTCTTTAGTTGATTTTAGAGATTACCAGTTTCTGAAAAGCTGATCTTCGTAGAAGTCAACTAACCGTTTGTCAAACGAATTTTCAAATGTTACTTGAATGCCAAAAGGATTGTTAAACTCTCTGAATTGATCATTCTGTTCATTAAGAAGAATCCATTTGACAGCTAGTTAGTTGACTTCTACGATGATCAGTGTTTCAGAAACCGGGCTTAAGCATTTGAACTGGCTTTTGGACAATTCTCGATATTAGCCAGCCAGCAGAAAAGTCATTTTAGACCACATCATTAATAATGTAAAAATAAAACGACTCGTGTATCTACACGAGATTCGTTTTATTATATAAGATCTCTTCCCGATCGTATAAACAGTTTTGGTATTTTCAAGAGAATAGTAAATAATTATATAACTTATACGTTCATATATTTATAACAGGTAAGGCACTAATTTCTACCGAGTTAAAGCGTTTACTAAACAGTGTATCATTATGTCGGATTGTAGTCAAACACTGGTCACTCCATAGATTTAGAATGTACTAGATTATTTTATTTTAATTATATATTTTATATTTGTACTTAGATCCTAAGTCTATGTGGTGCTTAGTCTCTAACATTAAAAGCGAAAAGATACTTCGACATGTTAAGTAAAATAAAAAAAGACAAGCTGTATGTTGCTTTTCAATCGCTCTAATACAGCTGCTTTTAAGAGACAAAGTTTATTGGTGAACTCATTATAATTATGTGAAAAAACGACGCAAAAAGTTCTAAGGAGGAGTAGGAAATTGCAACATCGCGTGCCGGGATTCATTAAAAGATTACGCTAAGCCGCGCATTTCAATAAAATTTTATAATTTTTAAATATAGGTTGGTGGATTTAAGTACCTATCTCTTGGAATCGGCTTTATGCTTCCTAATGGATGGTTTGAGTAATTTTGTTGCCAAGAGGTCAAGTCTTTTATAGACTATGATGTTTTCAAAGGGCTTATATCACACACACTTGAACAAATGCACGGAAATTGAGCAAAAACATGAAACCTAATACATAATTTTCATTTTCATTCGGGTGGTTACGAAAGTTTCTAAAGATTACGTAGGAAACACAACTTCAAGGCATTACGTACATGGCAACCAATAACAAATTTTTGATATTTACCTACAATTCTTAACCCTTTACAGCGCAAGGTCATTATATAATTTTACAAAGAGTAGGTAGCAAAAGGGGATGTATTAATGGGAAAAATAAATAATATTTATTATTCCAAAGAAACTATGATGTTGCAGAAATACAACATTGCTTTATTAAATGCTTAAAAATGTTAAAGGAAGTTATGAAAAATTATTTTTTTCAACACATATAAAAAGTGACCGGCTTGTTTATTAAAGTGAAAACATAATTTCGTGAATAGAGTTTACCTGTAACTATTATGATTGTAGTTATTAATCTAGAATACTTTAACAACCGCCCATTAGCCAGCCTCGATACTGTCTAATACGGTAATTAAAACACAACCTGCTCATCTCATTTGAATTATATAACAAAAAAGTTGACTTTTCTGCTGGCTGCTAAATAAAATCGAGACTCGTCTAAAAGCCAGTCTACATGCTTAGTCTGAAGCTTCAGCCGTTAAAGCGCTGTATTCGAACATACTACATCGATACTGTTTAAAAGATATTTTCTAATAGGTACGTCAAAGAAAACGCATACCTTCAGCATACCTACCCCGAATATGCCCAGAGGCCCGAATTAATGGCCCATTAATCTTATCACTGGCATGAGAAAAAAATATTACCACATTATCCTAGTTAGTTAAGTGTAGTAGCTAGCTAGTTAAGTGTAATAGTTAGCTCGGCTGCCTTGACAGCTTGGTCGGATGATGTTCATGGGTACCATGGTAGGGTTACCATGGTCTGGGTAGACAACCCAAGGACTAGAGAACAACGAAGCTGGTAACGGGCCTAAACCGCAACTTTGATCGCAATCGATAGTGGAAAAATTTAATGTGATACATAACACTAGAAAATGTAGCACTATGAAAATTAATTTTGAAAAAAAAAAATTATTTAAGAAAACAATCACCCTATACATGTCCCACTAATGGGTAAAAGCCTCCTCTGTACAGAGGTTATTAGGGCATAGTCCACTAGTCCACCACGCGGCCCCACTTCGGATTGACGGACTACACATAATCTTCGAATATTTTTTTTTTTTGTAATTCTTTTTAAATATTCAGGTACGCGATAATTCAGCACTTAAATAATATTAAATCCTCATTGGTGCTGGCAACGGGGATCGAACTCAGGTTGCTCGAGTATATTGAAATAAAAGCGAGCCGGACCATAAGCTAGCACGGCTCAAACGAAACGATAATTGTTGAAAATGAAACAATAACAAAAACAGTTGTCAAAGTCCTTTTCATTACGTGCCTAACGATGGATCGGATTCGATTTCATATTCCATAATAATAGCAGCACAACATAAGCAGTTCAAAGAGACCGAACCCACACAGATATCGCGTGTAGGCTGGCAAATCGGTTAACTTATGTGTACTTAAGTGTCAAAATTAAACGTATAGTAATTTTGTAAATCCTTGCAACACAATGAGTAATTACTTCCAATCCAAACGTTTACTGTCAAAATCAAAGAGAACTCTATGACATTTCTTCATGTCGTGATCAGTAGATTAATAGAACATTTTATTTTCGCATTAAATTTCATTTGAACTACTTATTCTATATGTGTAATGTCTTTATTCGACACCGCTGTTTTTAATTCAACACTCTATGAGGCTTTGTATCTTCAAATAGAAGATACTTTGACCTTTGCAAAAGACTTTTTTGGATCTTGTGTATCTTCCCTGCCGGTTGAAAATTTCCCGAAAACCCTCGTGAATTTAAGCGATCTCTCTTTTTACGAAGACCTAGCGGAACTCTTTTATTTCAACGAGTTCCAGTATCTCTTGCTCAAAACCTTTTTCCTCATTTTACTTTTTACTTTATTATTGATTTTTATTTCGTGGCGTGTTTACGGAACACGTATTTCGGAAAGGTTTATGAAACCCGGTAAGTTACTATGTTTTTCAAAAAGTCGATGCGCTCTCATTTCATGCTGCGATAGTCACGTAATCAACAACTTAAAATGTGGCGTAAAACATATGGCTTTAAATTTATATTGTATACTAGAGTCGAACCAAAATAAACATGTTTTAAGTTTAAATCAGAAAATCTTTATATAATCCAATGCAATATTGAAATTGAAAGTTTCATATTTTGCTTAGCTTGTCTGTCTTTCTTAACCATTTTTTTTAAATATTTTGAGGGATTGCAAAAAATAATCTCAACATAATAATCTGAACAACCAATCAGTTTAAACCAGAACAAAATATTAAGTTATTTTCATTTTGTTTGTTTGAAGATAATGTAATATTATCTTACATAACATTTAAAATAAAATTGTAATTAAAAGTTAAATATTACAACTTATCTGCAGCCACATCAGCTACTATAGAGCAGCTTAAAGAAAGTGTGTCTAAACTAAAACTGCCCAAAGAACACACACCAAGGATATAAAATGGCGGACAAAATAAAAAAATTCTTCCAAAGGAAAAAGGCAGATGCCAAATTCAAGCTAGCAGGGCCAGGACATAAACTGACCGAGTCTACAAGTAATCAAAGCTCTAGCTCCTCAAAGAAAGAAGCTCCAACAGTGAAAAGGTCAGGCCTTTCTGAAGAAAGTAAAGTTGCAGCGGAAGCAGCATTGGCTAGATTACAACAGAGAAGAGAGAACCCATCATTTAATACATCCCTTGCAGCAATTAAGGTTTTTTAAAGTTTTCATGGTTTCACAATATTTTTTTTTTAACGTGAAAAGCTGTCAAGTGAGCATGCTGTCCACATAATGTGATGTGTAATGTGATGTGTTAAGTGGATACCACCCCCCATGGCCACCTACAGCAGCTAAAGGGTTTGCAGATACGTTGACAACCTTTAAAAAAGTGGGCCCCAGTTACTTCGATCACCATACAAATCGCGAATTTATAATAACTTCTACTTCACACTGGTTTTATATGAGGCTGTGATGCTTCCCTGGATGAGCCTGCCTATTTATGCAACAGCAGAAGCTGTTGAGTTACCCTACCACAGATGTTTTGACGTACTTTTGACTTTAACACTAATAGAATAGATAGATATTCCACATATTTACACAATTATGTTCACATTGTTAATGCAAATATTCATCCATTTTTACTTATAAATGAAAACATTTGAAAACAAAATTATCAACATATCAAATCAGAGGGTTGAATTTAAAAAAAAAATGATTGATTATTATTCTGTAACTATATTTATTTTTGAGTTTTTGATATTCTATAAAATGTGTAGGGATCTGGAAATAAATATTAGTTGTAAGACCAAACCAATCAAATATATCATATTTCTCAAAAATTAAAAATGCAATAAACATCTTAAAAAAAGGCTCACATGATTTGTACTAATTCATTAATCACTTTTTATGGCCGTGATTTAAAATTCTTATATTAATAATTTTATAACTTCTACCTTGCTATTTCAGGCACAAGTAAGGAAAGAATTAGAAAATGAAAAAACTGTTCAACCCATACCGGCTATATCCGAAAGGAAAAAGTCCACAGACCAAGAAATAGATGTTCCTAAGAACTATGCCGCCTCAGGTGTTTATTTCAAGTATGTATTAATAGATACTTTGAATGCATTACATTTTTAAATGCTTCTTAGATTTAATTAAATCAATCCATATAACTTGTTTTTAATCATTCTAACTTTCTTTTAGGTGTCCACTTATAAGTAATGACATTTTGCCAAGAGATGAGTGGAAACTGAACATAAAATCATTCCTTTATGAACAATTGGAAGAAGAGAGGGGATTGACTGCTTGTCTGATAATACAATCATGTAATAACAACAGAGAAAAGGTAATTTTATATTTTTTTGTTGCAGTCATGTGTTTGATTGCATCACAGTTGTTTGACTCAACTTGGTTGATCACAATCAATCAATCAAAAAAGCAGGTTCCCATATATATTATTGGCATAATTTACTTACTGGCATAAGCCAGTTAGATATCTGTAAATGTTTCAGAAAACATTAGGTTACACTGCTGTAGTATGCTTTACATAAGTTTGCTTAAAAAGACCTACCTAGTTTGTGCATGAGTGATAAAAATGATGATCTCCAGCTCCAACTTCATTTCCCCCTGTTACATATGTTACTAAACTAGTAGACAATTGAGAGTGGACGCACCTTCCAATTTTTTTCTCTCCAATTTGTCAACAATTCTAATATATCATTAGTGAGCTACTTATACATATAAGAGATATAAAATATCAACAATATCATAAGAGATGTATGTATCTTTTCATTCCTGTGGTACATTTTGCCTAATACTACTACTACTACTAGTTAGTCTCACTCTTATGCAAATGACGAATTTAAATTTATTCATTACAGATAGATACTTGTGTTGAGACACTTTGTAAGTACTTGGAAAATATAATCACATATCCTGAGGAAGAAAAATATCAAAAAATCAGGATGTCAAATAGGTAGGTAATATATATTTTATCATATAGATAAAGAGTTTGTGATAGTGGATTTTTGTGACATGACTCATCGATAATTTGATACGGGACTAAAAGTAAAATAGGAATAAAAGTCAAAGTTAAACGCAATAAAATTCCTAAACTTGTCATTTAACGATGTTTAGTATCTGCGTAAATACAATAAATCATTATGTTAAACTAGATTACGAAATAATTGACTCTAACCACAGTGTTATAGGTAAAAATAAAGTATTTTATATCTGTAAATCTTGCATATATTCTTATACTAATTTCACTGAAACCCTTTCTGCTACTGCGGTGTGAAGGGGGAAAACTTTAAACTTTCACACCTATAATATTAATTGCAATTTTATTACATTATTTAATATCCATTTCTCTTTCAGAGCATTCTCTGAGAGAGTGCAGCCCATAGAAGGTGCAATGGAGCTGCTCCTAGCGGCGGGCTTCACGCAGCAAATGCTACCAAATCCAGAGGGAGTTGAGGAGCCATACTTGGTGTTTAATAAAGACAATGTGCCGTCTATTGAAAGCTTGACGGTAATATATATTTTTTTAATATCCCTAGCATTGTAAGTGAACTGAGGACATAAGCTAAGTATGCAAACTTGCAATCTGGCGTCATATGTTTAAATTGTGGCGTCATCCACCAAAGACATTTGGGAAACCGGTGTAAAAGTACAAACTCACTCCTTAGAACTAAATATGCTTATTTGTTGAATGTCATTAACATTGCAATTTCTAAAGGCAATACTGGAACTGACTGAAACTGACAATACTGTAATCTAAGGGTCTAAATCCATTATAAATAAATAAATATCAGGTTTGAAGGACCATAGATCCTTTTAAAAGAACACCGATTCCTCCCAAGGATGATTTGCGAGGCTATTTAAAATAACACCCTAATTTCAATAGAGAACAGGGTAAATAAAATTTTTAAATAAATGCGATGAATCCGTAAATATAGTTTAATTTAATAATGTGTAATCGCGTAAATACATGAAAATTTCATATAAAGTCGAAGAATTCTTATTGTCTTTGCGAAAAGCTTTAACGAGTTTGGTTGGTTTTATTAAAATTTACCTAAATTAATTTACTTCATCATGTGGGATAATAAGAAAAAAAGCCAATGTTTTGTAAAATTAATTGTAATTATTGCAGTCTTTAATTGAAGCTCTCCGTACTGCTGAGCCAATTCAACTGGAGCTGGATAGAAACCTACAAGTGCTTTTGCCTTCACAAGCTGCGAGCAAGATGGCGCTACCAGCTTCTTTCTATGCCCTTTCCTCGGAGGAATTGAAAAGGGAGCAACAGCTGCGGTAAAATAAAATAAATTCATGAATTTCATGGCATTTAAAATGTAATTATCGAAAGTGGTTAGGCAAAGCAGCAGCTATTGTGGTTGCAAAAATGGGCGGTCTCGTCTGGGTTCACAGAAGACCAATTCGAAATGGAAGTATTATACTTTCGTGTCTGTTACTTATTTTAGAAGAAGAAAGAAGAAAAAGAAGAAAAATTTATTCACGGTCTAAGCACAATAGATACATAGAACACTTATAAATAATAATGTAACTACACATTATGTAAAATAATATTAGAAAAATAATTTTCTAAGGTTGGCAAGCATCTGCAAACCAACGATGTTTAATAATATAGATGACGCATGTCCAAGCCTAAAAAGACCTGTGTGTCTGTGGCAACATAGCTTCTGAACGCTTTTTTTTGTTGGAAATATAATGTGACCAAGATGTTCTTAGCTATAATTTGATATTTTTTTTTGAGTCAAAGAGGATTGCTTAAAATCTATAATTTTAAATATGATGTGTTATTCGTTCCGCAACAGTCATCTTCATTCTATTTGAAAAGATTGGAAAAACCACACCTGGAGAAATTATTGCTAAAATTTACATCCGGGTGTTTGTCCATGTGAAATGTTTGTGTATTAAATGCCTTTTTTTGACGTTTTATACGTCGAAAAAAGGCATTTTAATAATTTTCTACCGTTTACGATAATTGCAGTGCCGAGGCTATAGAGAAGAGTCAAATGTTACGCACGAAGGCGATGCGAGAAAAAGACGAAATGAGGGAAATGCGGAAGTACAAGTTCGCAATTATCAGAATACGTTTCCCCGACGGAATACTGCTGCAGGTGAGGTTTATGACTTATAACGGCTCCAACACAATATTGACCATTGAATAACGCTCCTAGCAATAATGGCATGGGAATATTAACTATACTGGGAATAATAGGAAATAATACTTATTTTATATTTATTTTAGTAAATTTGTTACATGAACTTGGCAGGAATTGCACAGATAACTAATAATTTTCGCATCAAAAATGTATTATAAAAATGTTTGATATTTCTTTTTTCAGTAAATTTCCCAATGTAATCATAATTCACTATGAATAAATAAATCGCCAAGTTTTTTTTAAACATGAATCATACTCTTTCAAAATGACATTTACTTTTTTTATTACAAATTAACCTTTCTATATGCCGCCATACAATCCTCTTCGTTCATTCCCAGGGTACATTTTCGGTTTACGAACGGTACAGCGAAATACACGAATTCGTTCAAGAGAACTTGGAGCACAGCGGCCTACCTTTCATCCTTAACACCCCCACAGGACATAAATTAGTACACGAAGAGGACGGGAATAAGACCCTCATTGACCTGCGATTAGTTCCGGCAACAGTGCTTACTTTCGCTTGGCATCCGTCTGTAGCGGAGGAAATAAACAATAGCCCTAACAAGGATGTCTATTTGAAACCGGAAGTAATGGTTCTAGTGCAGGAGATATAGATTTAAATGTTAACGTTCGGATAATTTCGTCAAATGAATCCCGCTCGGATAGTTTCTATTTACAGCAATTAAATTCGGTTACGTAAATAAATAAAATCACTTACCCTGTTACCGTTGCTTACGTGCCTTTTTACAATTAATTCAATTCAAGTGAATTATGATATTTTCACCTTATATACTTAGTTTAAAAAAAAACAATTTTAGTGCACTGAAATGTTGATGCTATAATAATATGTAAGACTGGCTTAATTTGTTTGTCAAGAATAAAACTTTCTGCTGAGAAGATTCCTTTAAAGAAAAATATCATTCTTCCATGTTAACGCTAAAATACGAAGGTAGAGATACCTGTCAGGAAGCATGGCTTGAAACTTAAAAATTTTCAAATAATTTATAAACCTACTTATCTTCAAAATAGCAGTTGAATTTTCCCCTAATTTCTAAAATTTATTTTTTAATAACTTGATAATTATTATATTTTTTTTCTAACCATGTCAAGCAGCATCTTATAATCTATAGCAAATGAAATGAATTCAAATTCTCCCCACAATAGTAAAACTGTGTTATAATGGTGTAATTACTATATTATCACTTACACTTATTACTTTTTTCTATATCCAGCCCATTATTGCAATGCCAAAATGCTTAGGTACTTGAAGTTATCTGGCAACATTACATTGCATTGACAACAGTCATTGTCAAAAACAGTTGAAAAGTGAACTTGAACAGTGTGAGAAATTCTAAACCTAAAAATCTGAGATAAAACCTAAATGTATGATTTGTTTTAGAGATGAATAAATACTTCACTTTTCTCTTTTCGATGGGAGCACAGGAATGCATAATATTTATAATTCTGGTATTTACATATTAATAGTTCCAAATTTAACTGATAAGCCAGATTTTAATTTATTTTAGTTTTGATAGTTTAAATTATTATTTATGAATTAAAGTTAGAACACGAACACAAAGTGTTTGAACTGTGTTGTATTTTTTTTGCTTTTAGATTTTTTTAGAAGTACCATAATCTTTATCAAATAATGATATTAAGTTTGTAACAATGAAGCAACAGATAATTGTAAACCAAGGTATTTTTCTACTGGATTTATAAATAATGTATTGTTCATTGTGATTTTTTCAGTGCATTACTTTAAAAGAGTTGTTTGTAAATCAATTATTTTACCAAGATTTGTTTACTTGATACATTAAAAGATTGCTTTTTTTTCTTTTAAACAATTTGCAAGACTGTTACTTAATTTTATACCTCCTATGGATACCTAAACTTAGGGCCGATTTCACCAACTTTTTTCTTGATATTTATACTTCAACCACTCACATAGCAAGTTTTTGACGTTAGCATAGGTGTTATAATATGTTCAATTGCAAAAATATAATAGACCATTGGAAAATCGAACATAAGACCTATGATTTTAAAATATTTACAACATTCCACTTAACAAAATAGCATACTTATGTAGTTTATATGACCTTAAGCATTCTTCAATTGAGTGACATAAAAAATTTGGTTGAGTTATATATCATCATGATACATCTTTATTCATAATTCAATCAAATTTTATTTATCACCTGTACATAATAATGATTAACCAGGATAACACTTCAACAAAAAAAAGTCAGTTATATTCATTTTAAGAAAATAAAGAAATAAGAAACTGTTAAAAAGGAACAACCATTAGTTGATTGTCAATTACTCACCGCACAATTACTAAATTAACAAAGTATGGTGAAATAGGGTCACACATTTCTATTCAGATTACGGACATAATTCTTGCCTATTTAATTGTTATATCTTATGCAACGGTTTCTAACATTTGTAAATGCTTGAACTATCCTGCAATCTTAAGCTAATTATTTATTTGTTATAACTGAAGATATATTTGTATATTGAGATGTCTAATTTAAATAAAATTTAAAATCGTTTGTGTTCCATTCATTTATTGAAAATTTGTACACTAAATCAGTGGCTTACTTTAATACTATGAATGTTTTAAGTAGTTTATTATCTCAACTTACACACTTCATAACAAAGAAATGTGATTTTTTTTTACATTCTGGCAACACTTGGTTCTTTATAAAGTACTTAGGCACCAGTTGTCAACCACAAATTCATTTCTACTTTCCACAATTCTTTTTTGACCATATCACATAAAACAATTAGGAAAATAAGTTACAAAAATAATTATTATTTTAATCCATATTAATATATTCATCATAACGAAAAGAATTTAAAACTGACCATTTACCTACTTTTTACAGTTAAGTTTGAATTTTACTGAAATAGTTAAATGTATCAGTCGGATCACTATTTACATTTTGAGTTGATACAGAATTTTTTCCATAATAAAACAGATTATTTTGTTCCTAATAATATGATAAGATAGTAATGTGTCTGCTGGTATAAATTTCATTTCTTATGAATCCCATCATAAATAGTATAGGAAAAGTTACTCTCAACTATGAAACTTTTTGGAATTAGCAAATTGATAATTAGTATCATCAATCAATGGCATTGTTTATTAAAAGGATAAATGTACTTAAAAGTATTCAATTTACAACTAGTTACATCTTTCAAATAAACCTGTAACTACTTATTTTTACAATGGACATCTTAAAAATATTAGGTCATGACATCACAGGATGTTTGCTCTGGGACTTTATTCTCTATGGTTACCGATTTCGTACAATCTTCTGTTTTGTAGATGCCCACTAGACGGTTCGAAACCTCAAACATGTTGTAACGCAGTGAGATTATGATGAACTGGGCGTTCTTCGTTCTCTCCTGTCATGAAGAAGATAATAGAACACCAAATAAGTATATCCAAAATAAGTAATTAAACTATTTTTATTTAGCCTTTTGAGAGTCCGTGGTACTACCCCAAATGAGCCTGCCCATTAGTGAAGCAGAAAAACCAGCTGCATGGCCCTACCATAGATAATAATATTCTACGGTGGTAGGGCCACGCAGCAGCCTCGGCTGTTGCACGAATGGGCAGGCTCGTCCGGGTAAGTACCACGACCTCACTGAAGACCGGCGTAAAGTGGAAGTATGACAAATACTTTCGCGTTTCGTCTGGTGAGTGAGGTAGCCGGAGCCCAACTTTCAAAAGATTGTCAACACATCTGTAACCCTCGGGTGTAGCAGATGTCCATGGGCGGTGGTATTCACTTACCATCAGGTGAACCGTGTGCTCGTTTAGCAACTTTTCACATACAAAAATAAAAATACGTATTATTTTCTTAGCCATTTTATATATACATTTACATACATATTTATAAATATCTTATTAAATTTTATTGTAGATAATTTTTTATTGTAGATAGTATTAAGATTTATTTCATTCATTAAGTTAACCCACACCTTTACTCCTAAATAAATTTCTTTTTAGTACATCCAAAGGTTACCTTGAAGAAATTACTTTTAGTAAAGGCTGCCTATTGTACCCATCAACTTCTACTTTAACATACACACACACACACACAGATACGTGATTGTTTGTCTTTTATCTGATTTTGACGGTCTATTTGTTTTTGGAATAATGTTAAAAAACTTTTAGATATTTTAGCTTGTGTTCTCGTTATTGGTTTTATTGGCATTTAAAATTACTTTCTTTCTTTGTAACAAAATTACTATGTTTATGTGTTTATATTTATGTACCAAATAAATATTTATGTTTCTTTCTTTAAGTTTTTGTGTACTTTTTTTTTTTCCTTTTTTAACTTGCTTTTTTTGTTGAAACAATGTTATGTTTTTATTCATCAATTTGTTATGTTCATGTCATTTATTTTTTGAATTTTTTTGTGCTGTTTGTTGCTTGTCAAAATAAAGTTTATGTCTATGTGTATGTCTATGTCTCAGTTTTTGATTATTCTTTGTTTTTTTTTGTGTGCAATGAAGTATATTCATTCATTCATAATAGTTTGATCGATGATTTTTTGAGAAATAACAATCACCTTGATGTAATTGGCGACGATCGAGACGTTCTTGAAGTCCAGAGCCGCGTCGATTTCGTCCATGACGTAGAGAGGCGTCGGTTTGTAGTAGTGAAGGGCGAACACTAGAGCGAGAGAGGAGAGGGTCTTTTCGCCACCGGACAGGTTCGATATGTTCTTCCAGGACTTGTTCGGCGGACGTACGCTGCAACGGAACAATGTCATAAAGCTTATTTCTTTTTTATTTCGATACACAAACGGTTATGTTCTGTTACTCGTTTTGTTGCGCTGTTTATCAAGGTATTTTTTTTACTTACGTGTGCACTAGCAAATATAGACTTAACAGGATAATAAATAAATTTCAAGTTACCGTTATAACGGTCTGCAGTTTTTTTAAGATAAGGTTAAATAAATTGTTAAGAGAACTCTATTATGTATGTTTATAATATGTAAGATACTTGGATAACTTTTGTCTAACTAAAGACCGAATCAGTTGGTAATAGTCAGGGCATGAATTAATGCTACAAGTTCATTTTAGAGATATAATAGAAACTAAAGAGTAGTAGAGATGTTTCCAATATACTTGATATTGGGTCATATTGACTCCTTTGAAGGACTGTTAATTGTTAAAAGCTTTTATACGCCTCTAAAGTTCATCCAAGTTATTTACACAATAATTGCAAAAGAAATGGCTTATTACTTCTAGAGGGGATTCATGCACGAAGTATTGCATTCTCGTTCACGCAGCTTTCTCTCTAGATCTCTGTCACAACATTATTACACACACATATTAGCTTTTACGAACAAATTTATTTAGATAATTTGATAGTACTATTAGGCCATAACATGAAATGACTACTTGACATGACTGCTCAATGCTGTTGGTTAAACTTTGTACTGCTAACTGCTGATGGCTCAACTTTGAACTGCTGTTGATGGTTCAATTTTTTTTAACAAACTTACTCTACAGACTCGTGGTCCATCTCATTTTTGATTAACACTTTTTGTATGTTTTTTTTTTAATTTTATTTTTGTGCTGTCACCGCCGCTTACATCAACCGGGCTGGTAACGGTACAGCAGTGAGTTCATATTTATTGATATATTTTATTTTTATTTTTTATTAATTATTATTATTTTTTGATGGCTCAGTTTAGGACCTGTAACTGCTGACACCTCGACTTCTCCTCACCTGAAGGTTATTCCCTCGGTGAACGGGTCCAAGGAATCGACCAGCTCCAGTTCCGCATCGCCGCCCAGCGTGATCATCTGGTACATCTCTTTCAGTTTCGCCGTTATCGTGTTGAAGCCTGTATAATTCGAAGATTTCAATCATTCAATTTGCGATATTTGTTTTCAATTTTAGAATGTGCAATGCTCCTTGAAAATTTAGATTAGGAGATAATCATGAAAAATAGTGTCTGTAAAGTTTCGTGTACGCACGTACAAGGTGATTAGATTGACAAGTTGAAAATGCATTTATAATCAACGAAATAAATGAATTGTCTCGTTTACCACTGGAAGGCTTGTCATTTTATTTTGAACTTATATGAACGATGAAAGTGTTATATATAGGGTGGCTTTTCTAAGTGTATCCATTTTTTTTATTAAATTCTAGACATAAATAATGTTATATAAAAATGATAAATATTTAAAATCACTCGTAAGTAATTAATTACATTCATTTGAACTTATCTCAAAAAGTGCGTGATTTATACGCACTTTTTGACTCATTTATTTTACGCGCGATCATTCATAACTAACACGCACACAAGTTCGTGCAACAGTAAAATTTAGGTATTTATGAATGATTACCGCATTGTCAACAGGTTCTGTTTTTTAGGGAACAGAACGGCATTTTTTTTTTTGGAAAAAAGAACTATTTTTTTATTTCAATAAACGATTATACTACCGAGTCGGAACCTCCTTTGTAAATTTGGGCACTTCTCAAAAAATCTCCCCGTATATAAAACGAATGAGCTCTAATTCCTTTGAAGATAAGAGATAAATCGGTTCTCACCATGGTTATTTTGTGCCAAAATCTTTTAAGACTTTAAAAAAAATTGCAAAGATTATTTTACTTTTACGCTAAAATTATCTGAAAAACGTATTTAGAGCCCACGACCTCACCAGCATACGTCGGACGTAACGGCCACTATATCAAGAGTGAACATAACCACAGTTCGAAATATGATTTCAGCAGTGAATTCTGATTTAAATAAGTAATAAACCTATACATTACGGAAGAGCAAAACCTACCCGATAAAAAGTCTGCGGTCCGTTTCTTCTTCAGCTGGTCGTATAATTGTCGAATCTCGTTCCTTCTTGTCGTGATCTCATCCAACTCGGCAGCCCTTTTCAAATACAGCTCTTCCTTTGTCCTGTAATCCTGTAAACGTGCAAAGTTGGATTTATTGTATTGTTTTTTACAATTATTTTTTTACGAACTTATGTTAAATGTGAATCTCGTTATGAACGGTCTTCGAATATACAACTGGCGAACATTTGGTATCGCGACTATTTATCAGAAGCTTGAGGATTAATTTATTTTCAGTACTAATTTCATATGAAACTTCAGTGTGTTCAAACGACTCAATTGAGTTTGATGCGGACTGTGACCTCGATGGCTTTTTTTTTTTTTATGCGAAAAGTTGTCAAACGAGCAGACGGTTTACCTGATGTAAAGTAAATACCGCCGCCCATGGACATCTGCCACACCCGAGGGTTACAGGTGCGTTAACAACCTTTTGAAAATAGGGCTCCGGCTACTTAACTCACCAGACGAAACGCGAAAGTATTTGTCATACTTCCACTTTACGCTGGTCTTCTGTGAGGTCGTGGTACTTACCCGGACGGGCCTGCCCATTCGTGCAACAGCCGAGGCTGCTGCGTGGCCCTACCACCGTACTACTGAATAATGTTTACTGTATGGTGGCTAAGCAGCAGGCGGAAAAAATATGGAACTTTCCTAATGTACAAAATGCCCCCCCCCCCCCCCCCCAATTCTTCCATACTGTATCACACAACGACCCCCCATCTATCGTATCCTATATTATGGACCCACCTCCCCAAGTCCGGGGAATATTTCATCCCATATTATACAGTCTAACTTTGTATCCCTATATCATCCCCCCCACTCTAGGGAATATCTGCCACCCTCTAGGGAATATATACCCACTCTTGTATACTACATTATCCCCTCCCCCCCTCCCTAGTCTAGGGAATATTTCACCCTATTTAAGTATTAGACAGCTCCCCCCCCCCAACTGGCCTGTATCGCCTGCAGGTTGGGCTTGGCGTCGCCCAGCCTCGCCCTCTGCGCGGCCAGCCGCCCGCGCAGCTCCTCCACGGCGCACGCCTCCAGCTCTTCGGGCGAGTGCCTTTCCAGCGGCTCCGGCCTCTCCACGCCCGCGACCCCCTCCAGCGCGGGGTCCTCCAGCTTGAGCGAGGACAGCTGGAACGTTGGCCAATAAGTATAAATAATGGTGAATCAACAACGGACTCTTTAGGGCGGACAGCTGGAACGGACGGCAGTAAATAAATAGATAAATATTTCAGGGCGTATTATATCAGTATTAAAGCATGAATAAGGCTCATGTGCGCGTGGTTGCGGGCCATCGAGGTTCGGTACGGAATGTGACACCGATAGCCGTTGATACAATCAATGTGAAAGATATTTTTTTTTACTCAATATAGGCTTTTTAAGCACACACGCAGCGTCTTCACGGCAAAAGAAGTATAACTTCAAAAAGTACTCAAGGGAGAGTCATTTTTGAAAATCGAATCGAAATCTCACTCTCACCTCCTTCTCCCACATCGGTATTTTACTCGTGCAGTCCTGTATGGACTTCTCCATTTTGCTGACGGCGTTGCTCGCTTCCAATCGTTCGCTCTTCGTCTTATTCTCCTTGCTTTGGAGAGCGGCGATTTCTTTCTTCAGGTCAGAGAACTCGCCGGAGCCCTCGTTCAGTTCCTCCTCCACCTGTAAACGCGATAAGAAACCTTTTTTCTTACGAGATAAAGTCGATCGATGCCACTTGAAACGTTTCTTTTGAACTGATCGACTGTTCTGCATTTTATTTATTAAAGTGGGAATATTTTGAAGAGAAAACCCCACACTTTGTGGCAGCCGTTTTCAGTATTAATATTTCGTGTTACAAAAAAAATAATAATTACACTATAATATTTTTTATTATAAGTAATTCATGTTTTAAGTTACTATTATTTTTTATTTTAATTACAATAATAAATTTTTTTTTTATATTTATAAGTATTACCGTAACTGCTAAATAAGTGTTATTTTAATTGCATGCAATTAAAATTTCTAATGTTTTATGTAGTACCATTATTTGTTGTGTAATTATTGGTAATATAAAATTATTAAAAATAATGCATTGAAAAATTTTGATCTGGAAGAATGCTGCGATATTTATGGAGCGTGACAAGCGACGGGCTAGGCACCTGTCGTCGTTAAGCTTAATCACCTGTGTCTTAAGGTTAATCTTATCCTTTAAACGAGCAATTCTTGTATATATATAATCTGAATCTCGGAAACGGCTCCAGCGATTTTCATGAAATTTAGTATGTGCGTAGATTCGGGGGCGAAAAATCGATCTAGCTAGGTTTCATTTTTAGAAAATGTCCTTTTATCCCTGTTTTCTGGGAATGAAAAATATAATTCGAATATGACGGTAAATTTCGCCGCAAGAGAAAATGTCAAAATAGCTTGGTCGGTAATCGGGCGGCCCCAAAACAGACGGTCGTGGTTCGCGTCACGATCATTTACACATTTATTTTTTTACTTTTTTTTCGATTCCAGATCATTGCTTTCTTTATTTTTAATTTTTTGTCGATTTGTTATTTTGTTATTTTTTCCTATTAAGTTAATTCCTTTTTTATTATTAAGTTCTTTCTTTTGTGAAAAACATCAGTTCATATTTTCTTATTATTACGTCGGTAAGATCGAAAAATATTATGCATATTTCATTACTCAGTAATTTGTATCTAAATGTAATTTCCAAAATACACGATTTACCAAAAAAAAAAAACAAACCGAGCAAAGCTCGGTCCTCCGGGTACTTAGCTATTCACTACATAGTATAAAACAAATTAGTCCCGCTGTCTATCTGTCCCTATGTATTCTTAGTTCCTTAAACTACGCAACGCATCTTGATGCGGTTTTTTTTACTAGATAGAGTGATTCAAGAGGAAGGTTTATATGTACAATAAGTACATTGCACCCGTGCGAAGCCGGGGCGGGTCGCTAGTTAACTAATAAAGCCTAGCAAAGTACTGGTGCGGAGCAATTTGAGCACTCAAACTTAATGATAATAACATTAGTGGCCCGTGATCTGCGACAGGCTCTTCACCTGACACTTTAAGGTTGCTCATCTCTGTACTCTATTAAAGTCACTACAGGATGCAGGAGTGAGAAAGAGAATACATCGTATTCGCCAAATAAAATCCCCAATTACCTCTTCAAAGTCCCTCTGCAGTTGCGTATTTTCCAAGGCCAGCTGTTTCTTCTGATTGTTCAAACTCTCCAGGTTCTTCTCTGTCTCCTTTAGGTCGGCGTCCATTTGCTCGATTTTGTCCTTCGACTTCTTTGCGTTCCTGAAAGAGAGCACGTGTTAAAATGTTATAACTCCAAGTGTGGTGCCGCAATTAGCTGCGGTGGGGCCACGCAACAGTTTGCTGTTGCACAAATGGGCAGCACCGTCCGGGGAAGTACCACGAGCTCACAAAAGACAGACGTGAACTGGAAGTGTAACACTTCTGCGTTTCGTCTTGTCAGTGAGATAGCATGAGCCCACTTTATTAAAATGTGGCAATGTATCTGCAACCATATGGGTGTGGCAAATTTCCATGTACGGCGGTTATCACTAACATCAGGTGAAACGCCAGCTCGTTTGCCACTTTGTCACATTAAAAAAATGTCATTTCCACACATCCTTGTCGTCAATGTATTTTCAGGCATTATAACAGGCATTGCCTTTACGGTAGCTTTTACAAAATGTTCAAAATTGTTTGTGGGTGTCATTGAAATTGTCTGTACACTTAATATAAAATGTAAAATAGGTACGTTTCATATTAAGACAGTGTACAGACATAAAAATTAAATTACAAATAACCTTATGCTGCTGCTGATAGCGACTTTGAGTTTGGTTATCTCGGAGGATATCTTGTCGATTTTCTTGGCGAGGTCGTCGACGGTCTCTTGTAAATTCTTCACTTTACCACCGGCCACCGAAGAGATTTTCGCGTCGACTGCTTGCACTTCTTTCTCCACCTAGAAGATAGAAAGGAAGATAAAGGAATCAAAGTGTCAGACACGGACTTTACAAGCTATAGGAAAATCCAAAAATGTAGAAATCATAGAAAGGCTAGTAGAAAGTATCGTGTTCATTTGTGGGTCACACAAATATTGTTATAGGTTTCAAACAGACATCAACAAATATGTCCCTTGGTGGGAATCGAACCCAAGACCCCCCATGCCGAATCCAATACCATGGCAATCTCTCCACAGAGACCTCATTGGCTATTTATATTTACTATTGATGTTCTGAAAAGGGGTTCATGTTGACATGTATTTTTAATCATCAATTAATCAAGAAATCAATATTGAAATTTAAAGTTTTATAGAGTGCTAATCTCTGCACATAAGATTTAATATTAAAACTTTTTTAATATTAAAAGAACGATAAGATTGTCGACGCTGTGGGAATCGAACCCACGTCTTGGGCATTCGCGGCCTGACGCTTTAGCCACTAAGCTAAAAGGCTGATTACCACATCGACCAAAATCTTAACGTCTTTTATCTACATTGTTGTTTAGCATTTGATGCAATGCTTGTCGCATCTATTGTTAAATCCTTTCCAGCATACAAACAATTTCGAATATCGTTTTACAACGATAACTTCGAACGAGAGATGTCGCCATTTTCTACATGTTTTAATGTTTAATCAATATTGAATTTTTAAGTTTTGGGAACAAAGCTACTTTGTCGAATGTGTAAATAAAGAAGTTAGTTGCTAAAGGTACAGATTTTTTATGGGAATTGTGATTTCATAGATGATACTAACTTCGCCGGCGTCCACTCTGGCTTTCTCCAACTTTTCCTCCGAATTCTTCAAAGCGGCTTCTAGAGTCTCCTTCTGCTGGGCGTCAACTCTACTGGCCAGCGCTTTGCTCTCCTGCTGTCTGATTTGACTCTGTAACGACCGATTTCTATTGAAGTCTGTCTGTCTATTTCTGTCATATTTCTATTAGAATATGCCCGAGTAAATTTTATTATTATTACATTTAAATTTAGCCGTGATAGCTCAGTGTCCGGGCGCTCGCCTTTAATTAATACATTCGTGCAACCTGAGTTCGATCTTCGGTGCCAGGACCAATGAAATTGTTAATTAAAAATAACAAAAAATCTTTCGAAGATATGTGATGTTCGCCAATCCGCGGTTGGGCCGCGTGGGGGACTAGGCCTTTGCCCAGCAGTGGGACATGTATAGGCTGATACATAACTTTTTTAATTTTTTTATAGATTGGTACAAAAGTTGACAGTTTGCTTGAACAAGAATCACTGCTCACTTGTAACGAAGGAATTTGCTCCTTCAAGCTGTTCAGTTCGATGTTGAGTTTGTTCAGCGTCGTTTTCCCTTCTCTAGTTGTCCTCTGCAGGTAGGAGAGCCTGTCTTCCAGAGTCAACTGCTCGCCGCGCAGTTCCGCCACCCTGTTGAATACACCGGCATCTGTACGTATCTACAAGTGTACTGTCACGTACACACGGGTACTGACGCAAACACACGCATAGTCCCAGGCACATCATACTCATACCCACATACGTATAAATTCTCTCACGTACAAACGCACCCACAAACAAGTCGCGCACACGTGCGTCCTATCACAGATGCATATAGACACTTTTACGTGGCGAATTATATGTTCAACTCACACATATACAGTCTCACACACACGCGTACTCACGCAAACACAGTCCCGGATACTTAATACTCTCGCCCAAACGCGCTTAATCTCTATCACGTACAAACGCACCCACACATGGAAACATACCAAAAGTCTAGCGCACTTGCGTCCTATCGCAGATTCATATAGACACTTTCACGTGGCGAACTAAGTATCCGTCGTACGTACACATACACACACGTACTCACGCAAACACACGCACAGTCCCGGACACAATACTCGCAGTCACACACACATAATCTCTCTCACGGAAAAACGCACCCACACACCTAAAGTCGCACACGTACGTCCTATCACAGATACATGACACTTTAACCTGGAGAATTATACGTCGTACTTACACATCTACTGTCATATACGCACGCGTATTGACACAAACACACGCATGGTCCCGGACACATAACACTCTCAGCCACACGCATAATCTCTCTCGCGTAAAAACGCACCCACACACCCAAAGCCGCACACGCGCACTTCCTATCGCGACACAAGACACACACATTGACGTGGCAGATTACACGTTTGTAGCGAGCGTCACCTCTGCTCCAAAGCGGCCAGCCTCTCCTCCTTCTGCTGCAGCAGCCTCGGGTCCTGCTCGCTGGTGTCCTGCTGCACGGAGCTGGACATCCTGCCGCGCATGGTCGTCTTGCCACCGCCGGACATTGTGCCTGTGGATTTTTTAACGAGCTAATATATATACAAAGTCGAAGTTATTTCATTTCTTTATTCAATATTATGTATCATGAACTGATTAATATTCATTAATATTCTCGCTGGCTACTGCTGTTATCGGGTTGGTATTTAAAAAAAAAATAACAGCGTATACATGCCCCACAGCTAGGTATACCTCCTCTACACAGAGGGTGTTAGGGCATACTCTACCACGCGGCCCCACTGCAGATTGGCAGACTTCACATATCTTCGAAATATTTTTTTCGCAATTCGAAAATATGCAGGCCTCCTCACAATGTTTATCTTCACCGCCGAGTACGTGCTTAGTCAGCATTTGAGAGATATAGGCTTTTATTTTGCTGTATTCTTTTTTACTTTATAAAGCCATTGCATCTCAATATTTTTTTAAATTTCCATCCACAGCCAAACGTATGAACTTGTTGAACCCAACCCGTAACTAAATACATACACGTATATTGTAAAACCTCTGATTAGTAACAAAATCAAAAAGCGTGCCATTTGCTAAATATGTTTTTCGTCACAAATACGACACTCACCGGCAATCTCTATAACGTCACCATTCAGTGTTACCACCCTATATCTGGTGCGGCCGTAGGCGATGCGTGAGGCTTGTTCCAAATCGTTGGCAACTAAGGTGTCGCGCAGGGCGTAGTAAAAGGCTGGCAACACCCGCTCGTCTCTCACCTCTATCAGATCGAACAGTCGAGGTGCATTTTCCGGGCTAGAGTAAAATGAAATCAATTAAAATTTGTATAATTTTTTTTTAAAATTTATATTGCTAATCTCCGCACTTAAGATGACATTAAAACTTGTAGTAATAATGGACGAAGTTTTTCGCTGCTGCGACAATCGAACCCACGTCTTGCGCATACCGCGCTTTAAACTCACATCACACTGACGAATCCGGAAGACGTGGATGCGATTGCCGCAGAATGTGTAGAAATGTTTTTAATATAAAGAAAACATGGCAAACGTAAGATATAATAGGATGTTATATTGAGACTCAGTAAAGTGACAGTCTAAAAATGATGATATACACACAAATACGAATTGTAGAACAAAACCAATTAGTCATTAGATACGACACTTTACCTATGACATATTATTATGGGCACTTTGTGAAAGAAGAAAAGGATAGTATTGTACCAATTTGATTGAGTGCGAAAGGGACGGGCTACTCGTCGTACTAAAATTTCAAGTAACATAGCGTGCATTAAGCCCTAATAAATGCACGGATAAATGCAAGAGGGACGGGGACGGCTTGTCACGGCGATGTTAGAAAGGGACAATGCGAGCCGAGCGCGATCGAGTGCGAGAGGGACAGACTCACTAAGTGGCGCGCCGCTCGTAGTGCGGTATCAAGTGCTGCTGCTTGTCGAGCGCTACGAAGGTCGCGCGGCCTACGTCGTGCCTCTTTAGGTGCTCTACGCACGCTTGCGCAGTCTCTACGGTATCCACTACGATATTGTCTAGAGCGCCGCAGCACGTAGAGATCGCTACGTCGTAGCGCGGCGGGATGCCGCCGAGGTCGCCCTGCGAACGATTTTGAACTTTATGTGGAGGGGATTGGGTAGTAATAGCGGCCACTGCGACCTGGAAGATCTATTGCAGTGTTGCTTCGAAAATATCGACCCTCAATGTAGGATAAGGTTATCCCGCGTTGTATGGACAATTCACATACATAAACTTCACGTGGACACACACCCATAAGTTGTTTAATTTGTGGTCATGTTTTAGAAATAATATAATTAATTTTGGTACATAAAAGAGAGATTTATTTTTAGTTTCATTTTATTATCAAATCAAATCAAAATTATTCATTCATCGACATAAGAAAAATACATTTCATTTATAGATAGTAATTTTTTTTTTAATCTGTGGTAGATTCGTAATGAGGTTCCACTAACGGAGAAGAAACAGGAACAACAAACAACATTACATATTAATATTACACAGAAAATTACACATGAACATTTATATTTCCTCTTTCTTTGGTTTGGCAAAATAAATGTTTGAGATGGTTAGCGATATGTTTTCTTCTTTTAATATATCTCTTTCTTCCTTCAAAAAATTTATGCACTGTTCTTTTACAATTCCCTGTCGCTTCTGAAGTCTGCTTTGTAATATTACGCAAATGAGATCAATCACATTTTTGGGTCTCTGTAAAGTTCCGTGAATACAATACAAATTTTTTGATAAAAAAAGACATTGTTTTAGAGCATAAAAAAATTAACACGTTTATTGACAATCATATGTCATATATAATAAGAGTATATAACATCTTATCGAAATAATGTAAAAGTATATAAATGACTTATTGAGCAGTATAAACACTAAATAGAAGAAAAAATGTTTTAGCCATCGCACTGAAATTGAAATTTTCCGCATATTATGTCGTTATTACTTACAAGTCTACCAAAAATTCCTGGCAGCCTGCCGCTACTTTTCTCCCTCATCAGCGAGTCCAATACTCTGCCGCGCGATCGGTTTGCGCTCATCGCCTGCCTGGACTCTTCTAGACTGGCACTGGAAGTGGAGAAGAGAAACTTACGGTGTTAACAGGTTAGGTGGTAAGAGTAAAAACACGCACAGGGTGTGACAATTAGAAATTTCATAATTTTGGGGTAGTCGTCTTTAAGAGGTTATATTTTATCGGTAAATCGTATTTTATGTTAATTGTTATATATCTCATAAAATCTATCATAATGAAATTAATGGCAATTTGGAACAACTTCCAGGAATATAATCAGCAGGCCAAGAGCAAGGACAAGAAAGCAATACTCGCCGTATTGCCTTCTTGTTCGCCCTGCAGCGCAAATCGCTTTAGCTCTTGCAACCTTCTTGGATCATTTATAAAACGTCAAAATATAAGAAACATAAAATTGTATATAAGTATACAGCGTATATAAGTCCCACTGCTGGGCAAAAACCTCCTCTGCACAGAGGATATCAGGGCAGTCCACTACGCGACCCCACTGCGGATTAGCAGACCTTACATATATTCGAAATATTTTTTTTTTATTTCGAAAATATTCAGGTTTACCTAAGAACGTTTTCCTTCACCGCTAAGCAGTGATAAAAAACACAATAATAAAAATTAATTACACAATGCGTGTTACCTCTCGTCTGCAACATCCTATTGTATCGCTTTATATTGATTGCATACATCCCTCTTTCTATACGTCACATCTTTCTTCTCCCTCGCGTAACGAAATGTGCCTAAATGCTACTCTCGTCCGTATAAAGAAGTCACACCTACCGTACAGTTCTCGCTTCGTTGGATAGATTAGTCTCCTCCTGCTTCAGTGATTGCAACTTCTCCTTGACATCGTTAAACTCTCTCTCATTTGTCGGCGCGGTGACTGACAATTCGTTGAACCATCTAGGATAGCAGAAAAAAAAAACTCAGTCACAGGGTCCCATGATTATACATGGATAACAAAAATTAAACGCAATTAATCGGTAAACATAGTTTCATTTAAGTAATGTAATAAAATAAAAACACTTGTTATGGAGTAAACTTACAGCTGCTTCTCTTCTACGTCCTTCACAGCCTTCTCATAAGTCTCCTTCATCTTCTCTAACTTCGCTGTCTCCTTCTCTTCCGTGCTTAGATAAAGCTTCAGCTCGGATTCCGCCAGCTTGTAGTTCTTCTTCGAATCGTCCACGATCTTCTTGAGCTCGATGAGTTTGGCTTGCAGTTTGTCCTTGGTCTCTTGGAGGCCTTGCGTTTTGGATCTGTGGGCGATTGTGGCATACAAATGAGTATTTATTTTTCTTGTTATATAAAAAATCAACGGAAACATTAACGCTTTATTAATACATCAAGCGACGTTGACCATTATTGTCCATTATTATTGTGCGGAATATCCAAAAATTGGCATCTTTAAACATAAAAATTAAAAACTCGCCTGCCCTTGTTTTCGAATGAGTTATAGAAATATATAAATAAATATTTCAGGACAATTTTTTTACCACAGCGTTACCTAGTCCCGAACTAAGTACCGCTTGTACTAAGGGGTACTAGGTATTTGTCAAATATACTTAAAAATGCGTTTCTTTTAGATATAAATATATTAATACTCAGACACGAGGAAGACACTACAGTCAGTATTTGTTCCAATAGTGGGTATCAAACCCAACCAGGTCGCGAATTCATTTTATTTACTCATATATATTTTATTTAATGGCAATACCTCACTCCTGCCATAACGGTCTGCAACTCTTCTTCAGCTAGCCGCTTGCACTCTTTATGCTTGACGAGCAGGGCTTCGCAATCTTCTATTTCGCGTCTGTTTTTATCCGGAATCTGGAATAATAGAAGATAACAGCATACATACATCGAAGTGAGAAACATATTTCCCTAATCCAGACTACGGACTTATTAAATAGTTAAAAAAAGTCATTAAAACTTGTAGAAAAAACGGACGAATTTTTTTCGTTGCTTAAAATGTCAAAAAAAAAGCAATGTAGATTAAATACGTCAAGATTATTGTCCGTGTGGCAATCAGCTGTTTAGCTTAGGGGTTAAAGCGTCTAGACTCGATTGCGGAAGACATGTGTTCGATTCTCGCAACACTTTTCTACCATTTTCTACTACAGATTTTAATATTTCATCTTAAGTGCAGATATAAGCATTATAGTAAAAGAATCGTAATTTTAAAATTGTAGAGCTAGAATTATTTATAGAACTCGGCGATGAATGATTCTCATCGATCTATGGAAAGAGACAATCGGCTAGTTTCAGTTTCGAATAGCGTTATCTCTATCACACATTACAAACCGGTAGTGTTTCGTGCAACTGAGATAACGCTCTGCGAAACCGAACTAGCCGATTTTCTCTTTCCAAAGCTCGATGTGCAATAATTATCGCCGATTACTGTAAAGAATCCAGCGTTCTTTGCGAGTAACTTGTAACACATAAAATTATTACTACAATTTTTGAAAGCAAATGTCCTAAGCCAATATATTGTATCTTCAACATCACATCTACTGGAACACCACACGACACACGCTGCCAATGAAATTACCGTAACATATAAAAAAGAAATATTATTCTATAATTTATCATTAATCTGTTATTATAAGATCGCAAAATTTCTTCCAAACTCTTATGCAGTTTATCTTAATGACAAACAGTATAAAATAAATCATAGTGTATTATAGTAATAAAGTAACTTCTTTTAATTCTAAAATACCCTGAAATAGTGAAGGTAACTAAAAAGAAATAAAACATTTTTTTTACTAAATCCTATTTTGAAATTGTTGATAGCTAAGAGATCTACAGTGATTTTTTTTTCCAGGTAGAAAAAGAAGGAAGAAGAGGAACAAGCAAAGACGCCGTACTAACCAGCTCTAACTCTATGAGCTTTCCCTTCTCCTGTTCGAGGAGTTGATCTAAATTCTTCTTCTTTTTCCCGGCCTGCGTGAGATCTGCTTGGACGGTGACCGTCTTCCTCTTGCAAGACTGCAGCTTCTCCGAGATCTCCTCTTTCTTCTTCTGCGTCGCTTCGAACTTCCTACAAGTAAGTTAATGTTATACTTCTTACGGCGCGTTGATGACCGATTTTACATAATACCGACACCAATTTCATAATGTTACAATGCCAACCAATAACAACAACGGTTTCATGTTTAGAAAATGTCCTTTTATCCCTGTTTTCAGGGAAAGAAAAATATCAGTCAAGACAGTAAATTTCGCCGCAAAACAAAATGCTATAATAACTCGGTCGGTAATCGGTCGGCCCCAAAACAGACGGCCGCGGTTCGTATCACGATCATTCACACACTTATTTTTTTTTTACTTTTTTTCTATACCAGATCATGTTTCTTTACTTTTTTTCATTTCCAAAATACACCAAAAAAAAAAACGAGCAAAGCTCGGTCCTCCAGGTATGTTAAATTAAACCGTTAACTACAATGATCGTTTACACAAGTAATAACAAAGGGACGCATGACTTTAGTCGGTTAACATGTTAATTAACATCCTTTACGACAATTTTTTGAATTTTTAATTCTGAACCGAAATGTTTGAACTGATTTCGAAAAAACGGAACTTTTGTATTTAGCAAAAAAAAAAAAAAAGAAATTGGTTTTGTGGAAAATAATTTGGCGGTTCTGCTTTCCTTTGTGAAGAGGATACTATCGAGCAAATATGTTACCGGGACTACACGAATCATTACTATAATGTAGGTACTAAAATAGTGTCCAGGAAAAAAAACGGCTAAATTACCCGGGACGATGCTCAGAACTAGATGAATGTGGGAATGACAAAGCAACTTTCATATTTGAGTCTAGAAGGTACGCACATCCGGGGAAGTACCATGGCCTAACAGAAGAACAGCGTGAAGTGTAAATATTGTTTCACGTTTCGTCCAGTCAGTGAGGTAGACGGGGCCCACGTTTTTATTGTTAGCAACGCAGCTCGTCATTCTTTGCATTTGTGATGACTTAACATCACGTGAACCGCCTGCTAGTTTGCTAACTTGTAATATGAAATGAATAAATACTAGTCAGTTGATGATAAAAAGCGACTTACTGCATCCCCGTTTTCAGTACTTCGCTCTTCTCCCTCAACTCTCCCTCTATCTCCGCCAAAGCGGAATCGATATTGGCCAAGGTCTGTTTCAGCTCATCCATTTCCGCATTCTTCGTTTCGATGATCTTGTTGGTTTCGTGCCTGCAAACGAATGAACATTGATTCGATTTGTGTTTCGTTTAATTCAGATTTACATTAAAAAATGTATCTCCTCCCAGATTTTCAATTTGTCTGTATCATAATTGCGAAAATTTGTATATTTTTTCACTCTCAGCACCGCAACGGCTGAATGTGTTGAATGTGAATGGATGAAATTTGCATTGTAAGATAACATGCCTCAATAATAAACTACTTTTTGGATTTTATCGCCTTAAATTTTAATACACAATTTGAGTTTCTAAAACCTTATGGCGTCGTGGTAACTGAGCTAAATACTCTTCGATAGGGAGAAGAGCATCCGTAGTTAATTACCAAAGTGAAATGGTACATCAGTTATAAATCAGTAATAATAATGAACAATCTTCGCTATTGTACGAAAGTTAATAAATAATTATTAATCAACAATTTGCATTACATAAGTAACTACGAGAAATCAATATCTATCTGTTTCAACTAGAATCGTAACCATGACGAAACAACCGCTTTACATAAGAAAAAGTTCTATTCAACAATGTACATTAACATAACTACGAGAAATCAATATGGATGTTGCGTTTCAAGTGGGACCGTGGAGAAAACGCAACTCACATGTATTTCTGTAGCAGCGTGTTCCGAGTGCGCAGCGCCGTGTTCGTTAGGTTCATCTGCTCCACGGCCTCCCTCATCGGCTGCTCCAGCTGCAACTTCTCCGCCTCAACTAGGCGCACCCGGTTCAACTTCTCCTTGCGCATCTCGCTGTACTCCTCCACTTTGATGGCCAACCTCTCTATCGAGTCCTGTAACGGGCGACGTTCACATAACGCACTATTCAAAAACGCATTATGCAAAATTATAAAAAAAAAATATTTATGGTCGAATTGAAAATCCTCCTTTTTGAAGTCGTGTAAAAAGTTTACTTATGGTTAAGGCGTATTCCTAAGGCGTAGTACCATTGCGGAATATCTTGACGACGCCAATGTGTGGGGTTAATACTGTTGATACTCACGTAGGCTTAAATAAGACTTGTACCTGTCATATTATATTGTAAACTAATGGTTTTAAAAAAGAGCAACTGTTGAGTTTCTTGCCGGTTTCTTCTCAACAGCCACTGCTTTCCGAACCAAGATCCGTTGCTTAGTTTTAAAGCTCTAAGCGTACATAGGGACAGGCAGACAGCGGGACGACTTTGTTTTATACTATATACTAATATTAAAATAAAATTAATTAGGATAAAACGTATTGACAAATTAAAGAAGGCTGCCGTGGAAATTACATGTTTAAAATTAAATTTATCATTATTATGTAAAGTATGATATTTGAATAAAAGGTCTTTTAATTTAAATGAAACATTAACGCCCGGTTTCTGAAACACCGATCATCGTTGAAATTAACTAATCAGCTTTCAAATGGCTTGTCAAATATCGTTTGAGTTGCCTAAAGGATGGTTAAACTCATTGAATTGATCATTCTGATCAATTCAAATCCTGCTACGTAGCCATCCGGGCGTAAGACTGCCATAAAGCAATTCTTATGTCGCATTCGTAATGCATGTACTTGGTAATTACTGAGTGAAACTAATTTTACGGATTTATCGCTTTTATTTTTAATTATTTTATTACCCAACGTTTCGAACTTTTATGAGTTTGAATGTCACTCTTAGACCGCAAACGTAAACATACAGTACGTGTCCAGTCAGATAATAGCTACCGATCGAGCCGAGTGACAGCCCAAGCCGAGGTCCCCTCCAGGGGACCCTTGAGCCTGATCACTCCATGGAGCGCCCGCCAAAGCGCCCTAAGAGCTTGGCCGCCACCCAAACCGGTGAAACTAGCGTGACAGCCCGAGCCGAAGCTCCGTCGAGAGCCCCCGAGCTTAGTCACCATAACGCGTAATAATAATACGCCCAGGTTCAGGCTAGGCGCCTCGTGCGCCAGGCCACCTCGAGCCCGTCGGAACTGTAAAGGCCCCTAAGGCCAACAGTGGCTCATCCAGCCCAAAAAAAACAGTACGTAAAATACGTAGTGATTACATTCTCTCTGTTGGCCCGCCCGGGTTTTGAAACAATAACGGCTACACATTTAAACCTTATTTTAAAGAAGTTACCACCAAGTAATTAGTTTGATTATTGTCGAGACAGATAATATTGTAACAAGCTATGGCTAAGCTAATAAGCAATATAGACGACCTGAATGGCGTAGTGGTTAGTTTACCTGCCTCCTGCGCCAGAGGGTGTGGGTTCGATCCCCACTACTGGAAAAATATTGTGTGATGAACATAAGTGTCTGGGTGTTTTATATATCTATAATATGTATTTATTTACAAAAGAAAAGTATGTTTAAGTATGTTTAGCTAGTTTTTCTAGTACCCATATAGCGTTGCTTAGTTTGGGACGTGTAAAAATGTGTCCTAAAAAAAAAAAAAATGGGGGTTCGTGTAGTGAAACGCCGGTTTTAGTTTAGAATGTGGCAGATGCGTTGCCATTGACATTTGCAACACATTGAAATAAATTGGGCCCCGACTACCACACTCACTTCCACTTCAAGCCGGTCTTCTGCGACGTCTTGGAACTTATCCGGACGGAACTGCCCATTCGTGCAACAGTGAACTGTTGCGTGGTCCTACCACGAAAACTAACTGTGTGAAATGTCACAATGTCGTAAACAAAGTCATACAAAAGGTGTTTTCTTCGAAAGAAAGCTTATAGATAAGTTGTTAGAACTTAGCTGGCCCCTATACAGCTTTGTACGAGTAAGAAGATAAATGGCAATCATTTTTTCTTGAAATATTTCTCAGATAATTTTATTGCTGTTTTATTTCGCATTGTTTCCATATTAGATATAGCTGTGATAGCTCAGTGTTCGGGCTAGCTATTAACCTAGTATTCTGCCATTTTGAGTTGTAATCCCGGTGCCGGCACCAATGCAATTGTTTTAAGTGCTGACTTATCACGTGTTCAGCGGTGAAGGAAGACATCCACCGGTGGGGTCGCCCTAGTAGTAAGTCTTTGCCCTAATACCTTCTTTACAGAGGTGGCCTTCGCCCAGCAGTGGGACATGTATAGGTTGTTACTTTACTCTTTTACATATTGGAGACTTGATGGAGATGCTTTTTTTAATGAAAATAGTGTATATAATTATCACTGGTAATAATAATAATTTGTGGTAGGGCCACGCAGCAGCCTCGGCTGTTGCATGAATGGGCAGGCTCGTCCGGGTAAGTACCACGACCTCACAGAAGACCGGCGTCATGTGGAAGTATAAAACCCTCGCGTTTCGTCTGGTGAGTGAGTTGGCCACTTTTCAAAAGGTAGTCAACGCATCTGGCATAAACCTGGCGACGGACGATCATCGCAGAGGCAAAGAACATAGCGAACGACGAGCGAACTGAAGCGTGGCTCAAGACCGAACGGGATGGCGGCAAATCGTGGAAGCCTGCCCCATCTAGGGGAAAAGGACCAACTTTTCTTGTTTCGAATTTTATTTATGTTCATAGCAGTTCTTTGCAAATATCAAAAATATAACTCACCTTATACCGGGACGTGCCCACGATGTCCTCCAAATACTCGAGCATCCCGGATTCATGCTCGTTCTGACCCTTCGGTTTCATCATTGCGATCTGTTCCACTTCGCCCTGCAAGAGAGCCGATTTATTTATTTATTTATTCCTCATCGCAATTACCTTAAACACGGATTACAAAGAACTTAATGCCTTTTGACGTTCTCTCCCATTCAACCTGTTAAAATTTTAAACTAAACTTCTAAGTTAAAACCTGCAAATTATGTACACACAAAAAAATGTTGTTTTTTTAAATAACATTTTTTTGTATTTTTCAAAGGAAAAAAACAAAAAGATCGGAAGCAAATATGTATAGCTACTTTGCTTGCAAAGTTTTACGGTGACTTACAAAAATCGCTGTTCCATACCCTCACTACATTAAATGACATCACAATATTTTTCTCGATACACGACTCTTGGTCTAAGAAATAAAACTTAGAAGGACTTATTGAAATCCAGGTCCGGAATCATTATTAGATCGTCTGCTACGTGAATCTTTTGAACTACGTTATAGTCACCGTTTAGCGAGAAGACCGCAGCAGCAGAACTTATAGCTTTTCGTATGATGGTTGAGGTAAGCTAGACGCCTCTGGTGTTGCAGATGTTGCAGATGGACACCTTCGTATGATGTCTGAGGTAATCTAGACGCCTCAGGTGTTGCAGATGCACGGACACCTGCGATGATTTACCTCGCTTGCCACCTCGCCCTTGAAACTCACCTGCAGTATGAGAAACCGATTGTGGTCCAAGTCGATGCCGTGCGAGCGCAGCATAGAGGCGACCTCTTTGAACTGGACTCGACGCCCGTTCAGGCTGTAGTGCGAGGAATTGTCCTTGAACGCCGTCCTAGATACGACTATTTCGCTATTGGGAACAACGGTAAAATCTTCCCCGTCCTGAAACAGAAGACAAGAACGCGCTTGTTATTTTTGAAGGTATACTTCTTTTGGCGCGTTAGGGAAAAATTATAACGGTAAATTTTTACGATGCGCGCGCACATTGTCGCGATAAACCGACACCCTGAAGTTAGGTAAACATCTACGTATGTTTGCGTGAGAACTGATAACAGTGTTCACGATGTTTATTTTGTGATATTTAAATACACTTTATTTAACTAGATAATGCGTTATAATATAACTTTCAATGTATTAAATACCTTTTATCTATTTTTAGTGTCGTTTTTTCTACAAGCGTAGAATAAGGCGAAAGATAAAATTTTTGAAAAGATTTTTATGTTGTTTCTTTTATCTTTTACTAGCTGACCCGGCTAACGTTGTTGTTTTGCCATATCAATTATTTCTAGCGAATTTGTGAATCACATACAAATAAGGAAATAAATAGTTGCTGTTTCGATATTCAATGCAATTTTTCCATAATTACTTATCGTTTAAACCTTCCCTGGTTAGCCACAAACATTCCAAAACCACAATTATCCAAATCCCAGTCCAGCAGTTTTCGAGTTTTAGTGAGACTAACGAACAGCAATTCATTTTTATATAAATATAGAATATTGACTGATGTAATTGCCTTCTGTCCTTAGACTATTAAAGCTTCGTCCATAGTAGAACAAGTGGGCTATTCAGAACCCATGAATTCTAAACGGCCCTGCTTTTTGGGGTAGGGACGTGTAAAAGAAATCGAGTATCGCACTGTGATAAAATACCTTACAAAACAAGGAAATACTCAAGAAGTTATTCACTAAGAAATGATAGCTGTTTACAAAGATTCTTCTCCTTCATTAACTAATATTCAGAAGTAGTCTAGTGAATTCAAACGGAGTAGAGAGAGTATTCAACACGACCACCGTGCTAGTGGGCCGGTTATTGTCACTATGAGAGAAAACGTCAAAATCTTGGATACTTGTACTCGAAGATGGCCGTTTAAGAGTGAAAACATTAGCAGAAAGGACTATCCGTAGGTACCATTCACATTATCCTTCACGAGCATCTGCATCTGTCAAAGGTCAGTGCAAGATGGGTGCCGCGAAGGCTCACGACTCTTCAGAAACAAGTGCGAGTTGTTGCAAGGAGTATTTTATCTTCTTTTTAATATAAAACATTGCCCTTTCTTTAGGATAACAGTATCCTGTGTTGTGAAGATGTTTTACAAACATAAATTTCACGTGGACAAACATTCAGATGCAAAACTGTGGGTCACACAAACAGTTATACCGTGTCGGGATCTAACCCACGACCCCCGACGCCGAAGCCAATATCTTGGCAACCACGCCACGGAGTCATTAAACTTTCTGTTCTGTTCTTTCTTTTCCTCAACTTCAAGAAAGATATTCGAGGTAAATATTTTTCCGATGATGAAGAATTGTGTATGTAGCAATTGATGAACATTTTTCAGAAAAGGAAGAAATAAATTTGCGTTTAAATGTTTATTTCCCGCTCAACATTGAAAAATTGGAGGACCAAATTGAAAAATAGTTGTTCACAATTTTCTGATTATTCTTTCATGCCTATACGAGAATACTGGAACGTCCATGGTGTATATATGTTCTGTTATAAAATGTTTTCCTTTTTCGTTTCAAATCAATAGAGCGGCATCTCTAAAATTTTGCAGGTTGATAACTGGCATTGTTGCCATTGGTTGGGCTGTTGGCAACGGATACCTCAAAACTTTGGAGGGCAATATATGACAAAATGTATATATACTTTTTCATCACCTAAAATACACTATTTGATTGAAAGGACGCCGAAACTGATTCGCAAAGGTTCAAATATTTAAAATGCAATGGACATTTTGTCTACGCCTAAGTTTTTATAAAGCAATTTATTCAAGAGACAGACTCAACGACGCATCAATACGTTAAAAAAATCATATTTGAACGTCTGTCAAATAATTCCGCCCTGACACACACCAACGTAAACGTAGTGATTACATTCTCTTTGACACACACCATTCAACTTTGTAACGCTCACAACTCGCTCTCAACTATTTTTATATTCATTTTTCAATGTGAAGTAATTGTTAATTCTACATGTTTTAATGTGAAGTAATTTCCAAATAAATACAAGATTATCTAGACACTTGTTTGCATTTACGTCCAATACGAGACACATTTTAAATATTAACTAGAGCTAGTTCATAATTTGCTAAAGATTACAAAAAGGCACACAAGCAAGGATAAAACTAATTATTGGGGATATGGGAATATTATTGTTTTCACACAATGAAATTGTGGAGAAGTGGGCACACCAAAAATACTACATACAGCCGTAGTTCTATTGGAAATAACTTAGTGAATTTTTAAAGGATGAAAAGTTAGACCTCATCCAGTGCGTGCTTCCTTACCGAATAACATTCAAATCTTTCCGACTGTTGCATAACTGCTGCTTATCATAAAAGTTTTAATACCATATTCGATGCATAATTCCTTTAACAACCTTAACCAAACTAAGAATCGAATGGAATATGTTCGCTCTCGAATTATTTACATATTTACAACAAGAAATTCACTTAATGCTGCGGACGGATAACTAAGTGGACAAATTACATTCGACACAGACTAAATTAATATTTCAATGTACTCGATAAGGCCGTTCAACATTACTATAAATAGACCGGAGGCTGTAACGTGGACATCACTCCTGGCGACTGACTACGGACAACACTGAAGATGAAGCTGTTATTGGTTTTATGTAAGTATTTTCATTTCACGTTTGTTTCAGTCCATGATAGCTCATTGTCCGGGCGCTCGCTTTTAATTCAATATTCTCGAGCAACCTGAGTTCGATCCCCGGTGCCGGCACCAATGAAAGTTGTTATTTTTAAGTGCTCTCCGTGGTGAAGGAGAACATGTTGAGGAAACCTACATATTTTCGAAATAACAACAAAAAAATATTTCGAAGATATGTGAAGTCCGCCAATCCACAGTGGGGCCGCGTGGTGGACTATGCCCTGATACCCTCTGTATAGAGGAGGCCGGTGCCCAGCAGTGGGACATGGCTGTTACTACTTCTTTTTTTCAGTCCGTAGACTGTACAAATCTCCTATCTTTCTCCACCTTTGATATATCTATTGCCGGTGGTAGAATCTGCTGTTGCGAACGGGCAGGCTCGTCATGGTAATGTACCACGGCCTCGCAGAAGACCAAGAAACGCAGAAGACCAAAAAACGGAAGTATTACACTTTCGCGTTTCTCTGGTGAGTGAGGCAAGCCTGTTTTCAATGGTTGGACGGGATGGGAATCTGGTGAATTGTCGGCTACGGATTCAAGAGACAGAACAGAAGATGTTAACAACATCTTTTATATTATACATAGGAAACCTTACAAATTAATAAAAACATCGTTCTTTCTGAGGCATCTATTTAAAACTTTACTATGTCTTTTATTATGTAGTGTATTGCCATATAATTGAGTTTATATGGCAGTACACTTACATATTAACTAATATTTGCTTATAAAATCTTGAAAATATGACACTACTTTACATAAAATAGCAATTTTATTTCGTATAAATTGTGCGGTTTTAAATCGCGCCTGTTTCCATGCACAATTAGACAATGAATGACGTATATAATATATTTTATTGACACAAATGTTTCATTGTTTCATTTAACAATGAAAGACGTATGTCGTTAACTAGCCTATACACACAACCTCATATGAAAACTGCATTTCCAATTCTTCCCAAGTAACGTTCAAGTACGTATTGGTAAGTATGCCGACATTTCTTCTATATGTACCTGTAAGGTGCTTTATAAACCGTAATCTTCAAAATAAGTTTTTTAAAACGTTGATAATGCTATTCGCAGCTACCCAGCCTGCCTGCCAGTGACTATAAGTAAAGCACTAAGTTCAGTAAAAGGATGTTTTTAATCATATACTCGAGTCGTGGTTGAGTCCACAACGCTTGCAGAAAAGGATAGCTCTGCCGCTACAACCTACACCCGTTCCCACACACTCCTTGCACAAGTCCAGACGAGGGGAACATGAGCTGATTGGAGCGGCCCTCTCGCTCTTACACTACAGGCCGTCCCGGTTCCTCGGAACACGCCCGTTTGTGTAATAGCGAAAGATGCTACGTGTCGCCAATATAACTGCCATAACTTATGATTGCTCGAACGCCATGCAATAGTGTATGTTGTTGCACGAATGGGCAGATCCGTCCGGGTGGCCACGACCTTACAGAGGACCGGCGTGAAGTAGAAGTGTTGTATTTCTGCGTTTCGTCCGTTGAGTGAAGTAGCCGAGGCTCACATTATTAAAAGGCGGCAACGCATCTGCATCCCTAGGTGGCAAACGAGCTGGTACCCACCCGCCAGCTCGTTTGCCACCATCGCACATAAAAAAACCGCACAAGTGCGAGTCGGTCTCAAGCACGAAGGTTCCCGTACCATTATCTATAAATACGCCAAAAAACTCACGTCTGTTGTTTCGGAGCCCCAGTATTTTTTTCCAGTATTTTTTTCGTTGTTTATCTGTGAAAAGTTTCATCTGTCATACGGCCTGGTGACAAACGGACAGACAGACAGACTGACAGACAGACGGAGTCTTAGTTAAAGGTTCCCGTTTTACCCCTTGGGTACGGAACCCTAAGAGTCCGACGGCCCGACCGTCTACCCGCCAACGCTTAATCCAGCACTGCTCCACATAAAAACCATATTATTATCAATGTTCAAATGACTAGGTAGAAACATTAAATTATAAGATCATTTTTTTTTATTGATCCACTTTAGTTTCTGTACCGCCGTCCCTTCGTCTGTGGGTTTTACAGAAATTTAAGCAATTAATTAAGATAAAATTTATGAAATAAGTTTCCATTTATTCTAAGGAGGATATTCATAATGATTTTTTTTATTGAACTCACAACCGTTTAAAAGTTATTAAAGAAAGTCGCTTGTCTCTTGTAAAAATTGTGTTCAATTTATTTTTTAACAATCTATTATTTTTTTATAATTTTCACTCCGTTTATTATCTTGTATTTTGAAAATTTTTCAAATTTTGTTTTTTTCATTTAATTTCTTGTGATGTAAAAGTGATAACCGCCGCCTATTGACGTTTGCAACACCATTAGGGTTGCAGATGCGTTGCCACCTTTTAATAAAGTGGGCCCCAACAAAAATAAAAGAAAGGTTTAGGAGGAACTGTTTAACGAAATAATATAATTAATGTTTATTATTAGTAATTTTAATGTTCAATCGTAAGTGCAGAGATTAGCACTATAAAAAACTTTAAAATTAATATAATTAAGTTCAAATAGTGTCAAAGTCAAAGTCAATATCTTTATTCAATATAGGCTTAACTTAAGCTCTTATTGAACGTCAACAAAAATCTACCACCGGTTCACTAAACTAGACCTGCACAGAGAAGAACCGGCAAGAAACTCTGCGGTCTTGTTCTTTTTGTTATTTTTTATTTGATGCAATTATAACAAACTTATTTAGGTATAAAATCAACAGCAGCCGGGGTCTTGTCAAGTCCATTTAAAAGCCAACCAAGTTGCTACCATTTAAGTTGCTATCATTTATTATATCCAATATTTACAATATAAAACTAACTAAATTAAATTTTATCTAATAAACATAGTAAACATAGTACACGCGACATGGTGAAAGAAGAACGCAAACTGCTTTTCCTCGCTGAACATAGCTGCTGTTACATAGCTTCGCAAATTTCATAACGACTTGTAGATAAAAGGCGTATACGCCCGGTTTCTATATTAACTAAACGAGACGTTTTCCTTACGTGCCGTTGCATTACCTACGGAAAGTGAGTTACTAGCGTTCGTTTAATCTATGACTTTATAATTTACGAAGCTATGTAACTAACGGCCGTTCGTTTAATATAGAAACCAAGCATTAGTTAAACATGTGGGAAATACGAAATAATATCAATAAATTAAATTAGTTGAAGAACTGCCATATATGGAGATGGAAACTCCTACCGAAAAAGTAATTCAATGAAATTGGATTGAAAAACCGATATTTTATTACAAGTTACGATTTCAAATTAAAAAGATTTCTTAAGTCTACACAGTTCGTCACAGTTACGCTTGATTAATAAAAAAAGTTTACAGAAATAATAACTCTCTTAAGTTAATAAACGAAAGATATTAAATTCATCAAATGAATTATGAAAAACCGAACAAGTGCGAGTCAGAATTACCCTTTGTGTACGGAACCCTAAAAAAGGACGGCCAATAAATAATTATAGATTTCGCTCCGAGTGGGCGCAAATCCTTGTTTTTGGTGGACCAGTACTTCTTGGATACTGTTCGCTGGAAAATAATAATGCACGCCGGTCTACTTTGAGGTCCTGGGTACCTCCAAAGCTGCATGGCCCTACCACAGTTAGAGTTCTTCTTCTTAAAATCCTGTGTCCCTTAGGTGGGGCAGAGGGCGTCCACAGTAGATCGCCATCGCGAACGATCTTGCGCTTCACGCTTCACCTCGCTCCATGTCAGTCCGATGCTCGCTGCTTCTGCCAATACGGTGCGACGCCAGGTTTGCCGGGGACGGCCCCGCTTTCTTTTTCCCTGAGGATTCCAATCCAGTGCTTGTATAGGAATGTGATCGGAACCTCTCCGGAGCGTGTGACCAATCCATTTCCACTTGCGACGCTTGATCTGGCGGTCAATCGGGCTTTCGTGGCATCTTTCCAACAGTTCTATGTTGGAGATGGTCTCGGGCCAGTAAATTCCGAGTATGCGACGAAGACATCGGTTGACAAAAACTTGGATTTGGCGTGAGATGTTCTTTGTTACCTTCCACGTTTCGCATCCGTAGAGCAGCACGGACTTGACATTCGACCCGAAGATTTTGAGTTTAATCCTTCGGGTTAGTTTCCGTGACTGCCAAATAGGTCTCAGTTGTGCGAAGGTAGCTCGAGCTTTGGCGATCCGTGAAGTGATGTCTTCTTCAGTTCCTCCAGTTTCCGACACAAAGCTCCCGAGGTACGTAAATTTGTGGACGCGTTCCACCACCTCTGTGCCTATTAGCATAGGTGTAAAATTCTCCACTCCTATACGCATCTCCTGGGTCTTCCGGATGTTAATTTTTAGTCCAGCCTTCGCTGCCTCCTGTCGAAGGTTGTTCAACTTAGCTTGCATGTTGGCGTGTGTATGACTCAGCAGGCATAAGTCATCGGCATAATCCAAGTCTTCTAAGACTTTGGATGATTCCCACTCGACCCCGCGGCGCCCGTTTTTGTAGATGCGAAGCATAATTCCGTCAAGAACAACGATAAACAGAAGAGGCGAAAGCAGACAGCCTTGGCGAACACCCGCGTGTACTGCGATGTCATCAGAGATAAGGCCGTCGTGAGCAACCTTACAAGTATATTTTTTATAGATATTTTCTTATATACGCACAATTTTCGGTGGCACTCCAATGTCCAGAAGGCGGGACCAGATACTAGACCACTTCAAAGTATCAAAGGCCTTTTCGAAATCGACAAAGGTAAGATAAATCTCCCTATGCCATTCTGATGCCTGCTCAAGTATGATACGGAGAGTAGTGATCTGGTTTGTACACGATCGGTTTGAACGGAACCCAGCCTGTTCTTTGCGTAGACGGGGTTCCACAGCCTTCAATTGCCGGGTAAGGATAATTTTGCAGAAGACCTTTGAGGGGATTGACAGTAATGTAATGCCTCTCCAGTTATCGCACTGACTTAAATCGACCTTTTTGGGCACAGTGATTAAAAGCCCCTTGTTCCAGCCATCCGGCAGTTCTTCTTCAGTCCAAATCCTCTCAATCAAAGGCGTCAGTACATCGACAGCGGATAATATATCGGCCTGTAGCATTTCCGCGGTTATTAGGTCGAGTCCTGGTGCTTTGCCTGACTTCAGAGAGAGGACTTCTTCAGCAACTTCGGAGGCTGAGGGTGGTTCCGTGTTGACATCTAACAGCTGGGGTGGTGGGGAACCGGCATGCAGCAAATCAGGGGTCGATGTTGCTGATAATCAAAAGACCTCCTCGAAGTGTTCGCGCCAGCGTGACAGTTTCTTTTCTGGCGTCACAATGAGCTGACCATCTTTGGACTTCAGCGGCTTCTTCTTTAACTTGCTGTTACCTGCTAAGGTTTTGGTTGCATTGTACAGCTCCTTCAGATTACCGGTGTTCGCGGCATGCAGAGCACGGTCAGCAATACCATCTTTGCGAGTACTGCGGTAGATTTCCTTGCGTTTCCGACGGTATTGCATGGTAAGTCCAGCACGTGCGACGTCATTGTGGGTGTCAAGCAGTCTCAAATGGAGATTTGTTCGGTCTTCGATTAGATTCCACGTGTGACATCCAATCTTTGCGAGAATGAGTAGTCTTGTGCCCTAACACGACGGAGCTGGTCTCAGTATAAGCCACCTTGATGCGGTCCCACTTTTCATCTAATGAATCCCTAGTAGTCTCGAGAACAGAGAAACGATTGCGTAATTCGAGCTGAAATGTTTTACGGTTGACCGGGTCCTGGAGTTTGCTCACGTCAAACCTCTTTCCTATCCTACCCGTTCCTCTAGCTGCTCGAGCTACTGCTACCTTAAGTCGAACTTCAGCAACCACCAGATGGCGGTCGCTATCTATATCGGCCCCCCTACGGTTGCGAACATCCAGCAAAGAAGAACGCCATTTGGAACTGATGGCAAGATGATCAATTTGGTTTTTAGTGATTCCATCCTGTGAATTCCACGTGTACTTGTGGTGGTTGCCATGAATAAACAGAGTTCCACCGATGGTTAAGTCATGGTTCTGACAGAACTCGATAAATCGGTTCCCGTTCTCGTTAGATACACCAAGGCCCTGTGTTCCCATGTGCCGCTCGCGGTTAGTGTTATCACTCCCAACCTTTGCATTTAGGTCCCCCATGACGATGACGATATCTTGTTTCTTTATACTCCTAAGGGTTGCATTAAGGGCATTGTAGAAGTCGTCTTTGGTATCCTCTAGCGATGCATTAGTTGGGGCGTAGCATTGTACAATCGATATTTTCCGAGCTGTTGAGTTGAAACGGGCGTACATGATCCGGTCTGAGATTGGTCTCCAGTCCAGCAGACTTTTCTTGGCTGTATTAGAAAGGAGGAGCCCCACGCCATACTCGCGCACATCTTCCTCACTTTCCTTACCCTAATACAGCAAAGTTAATCCGCCAGGTGTTCTCAGCTCACCAAAACCATTTCTTCTCACTTCGCTTAGGCCGAGTATTTGCAGGTTGTATCTCAGTACTACTGCTTCTGCTTGTAATAGTCGACTGTCATCGCTAAGCGTTCGTACATTCCAAAATGCAATTCGTGTCCGTATTTTCATGCCAAAAGTCGTCGGTAAAGGATCGGTCCGGTTTTCTACTGTTTCGGTTTCTTGAATCTGTCATTATCGGGCAAGCGAGTGATTGGCCCACTGTGCCTTAATCCGATAGCGGGGCTGCCACTTTAGAGCCTACGGATATGCTCGGTTTCGTTTCGGGTATCCTCCCTAGTGAGTCGGTTCTGTTTTAAGGCGCAGAATATTCGCCCTTCGCCCTGCATCTGTTAGCTGAGCTGCAACTTAGGGTGGCGTACGCGCGACTGCGCGCTTGCAGCAGGTCCCAGGGAGGACGACGGGGACGTGGATGACTCGGACTGGCTAAGGCTCTGCTTTATGGTACTCCGCCACAAGTATAGCAGATGGTTTCTTGGCACTTTATAGGTAATGCTGCTCTCACTTACAGCGATTCCCACCAAGACCATACCCTAGCTTCCCCCCCCCCCCCCCCCCCCCTATCTATTTTGTCGGAACGCCAAATTTAATATTTCGAACAATATTTTGAAGGGTCATGTTTGCCGCTGTTGGCGAAAAATAAATAGGTACAATAAACTTTGTTCACCTGATGGTAAGTGATTACCGACGCCCATGAAAAAACCACAACAACCGAGGGCTTACAAATGCGTTTCCGGCCTTTTAGGAAAGAGTATGCTATATTCTTGAAGGTTCCCAGGCCGTAACGGTTCGGAAAGACCGCCGACGGCAGCTGGTTCCACGGAGCGGTTGTGCGAGGCAGGAAATGCCTTGAAAATCGTGCTGTTATGGAACGCTGAACATCGAGGTGTCGCTGAAATTTTTGGTTTTGGCCGATGACGATGACTTTTGACGATGTCCGATGGTGAAATTCAGGAATAAAATACATGAGAAACCAAGACTAATGGATGTGTAACGATTGAGATAATAATAACAATAAAATGGTTTATTTAATACCACAACTAAAATATTTAAATTTAAAGATAAACAATTTTTGAAAAAGATTTTAAAACATGCTTAGTTGTGGATTCCTGGTGGCTGCAGTAGGTGTTGAAAAACCCGTAAGGCACAGTTCACCAGGTCACCACCCTTTGGAATCTGTTACAAAATCAGGTATTAAAAATACACAATTAAATAGCTTGTACACATTAATGAGAAACAAAGTAATTAAAAGAAATTATACAAAAAAGAAATACAAACATTAAAATAAAACACAAAAATTTAATAAGAAAAAAACTATCCTATATGATTGGAATATAATAATTCCTATTGGGAGCCTTCATGCGTTGTGACGACAATTTGTGTATGCGAGTTAGATTTTTAAAAACACTATATCCTAACCTCCAACAGTTGTTCCGTATCAGCATACGTTTGCTTAAGAAGATATTGCTGAAGAACATGTCTGATACGGTAATTGTTTATGGGGTATAAAGACAATTTCTTATTTAATGTGCTGTACAGATATGGACCCAGAAAGATAAAAAACCAATGACTAAAACAGGTTTTGATAGGTAAGGATTCAACAACGAGGTGGTTTCGTCGCGTTAGCTCTTGTGAATTATATGTTAGTGAGTGTTGTTTAAGGGTAATAGACATTATGAAGAGCTGCCTTACCGTTAATAGTTGACATTGTTCATAAAGTTTATATGTAGGATAAATGCGGGCCTTAAAAAAACATACCTTAAGTATCGCTCTTTGTGCACGTTCAATTTGAATTAGATGGGTCTTAGCAGTGCCTCCCCATGATGAGATGCAATAATTTAGTATCGATTGGCAGAAAACAAGGTACACCATTCTTATTATATCTTTGTCTGCAGATTGACGAAGTTGTTTAAAAATATATATTAATTTGCGTACTTTGTGTGACAAACTGAGAACATGCTCTTTAAAAGTGAGTTTAGCATCAATAACTATTCCTAAATAAACAGTAGAACACAACAGGAGATCTTTTCTATAGGTATTTTTGAAGTAGAGTTGAACTATCGCCTCCGGTAACCAATGGTTGCACAACTACTTGTTGATTATTGTCTGTTTGTGATTTTGAATTAGGTATACAAAAGTTTATAATCTTGCTTTTTGCAATGTTTAAGGTCAGCAAATTTCTATGCAACCAAAGATTAACTTTATCAAAACCAGATTGTGCAAATCTATAAGTTTCTGACCATGTATTAGAGCTAAAGACAATTACCGTATCGTCTGCGTACGAGAAAATAGCACCGTTTTCAAGATTAAGATTACACAGGTCATTCATGTATACTAGAAAGAGACTGGGGCCCAATATACTACCTTGTGGCACACCGTAGTTAATAGGCAGTTCAGAACTAATATAAATATTGATCTTTACGCATTGTGTTCTTCCTGTTAGGTAGCGTAGCAATGATAATTGAAGTCCTCGGATGTCTATTGATTCAAGCTTTGATAATAAAATTGGAATTGATACTGTGTCAAAAGCTTTTGCTAGATCAAGGAAAATGCCTGTACATTTTTGACCTTTGTCTAAATTTTTAACAACATAATCTATTAAATTATGGACCGCATCAGCCGTTGAGAGGTTCATTGAGAGGTGATATTTCAAGTCGGCTTTGTTGTTTTGTTAATAAAAATGTAATCATTTACGTGTCGTTTTATTGTGAAGCTAATGATGAATGAATGGTGTTAAAAGACGATACAGCTCGTAGTAGCTGCACGGATAAAACAACAATCAATGGTTGACATTCCACATACAAAATTGCCATTTGCACTGATTTAATAACTTTTTTTTAAAACATTGCCATTACTTTAGGATAATATTATCCTGTGTTGTAATGACGTTTTACAATAACAGTTTAATTGATGTACGAACCCTCCCAAACATCGCATAAACGCCCGGTAATTTGCAATTGTAATTAAACTTACATTAGCAATGGATTATAGCAACGCCTCGTTCCACTAGTTAAAGCGATTTGTCATAGAATTAATTGAACGTGTAATACCTACGGGCAGCGTTTAAATATCACGTGCGGACTCGTAATAAATAGCTTCTGTGTAATTATTGATCACTTTCACAGGAAGTGGACGTCGAGATGAAACTACTGCTGATTTTGTGTGAGTATATCGTTTTGTATTCATCGTCTCCGATGACGTCTAATATAATTGGATTCGATATTTATATTAATACTAGCGGATCGGGCAGACGTTGTGCTGTACACACGAATTAAATACGGTAACTTGAAAAAAATGTGAAACTAAACCATTCTCGAATCGACCTGGCAAACACACACAAAAAAAATTGTTAAAATCGGTCCAGCCGTTTAGGAGGAGTTCAGTGACATACACAGGACAGGTACAGAAGAATTATATATAGTCTTAGATATTTTAATAAATAGGTGGACTTCCTCAACCTCTGGATACGCAGAAAGTTTATCGAGAAAGTCTTTTTTTAAGAAACACGCCTGTATACTTATTAATTTTAAACTGCAATTGTTTACAACTGAAAATACAGCGTTCCAATTTCAAATTTTTCTTATGAGCTAAACGACGATGGCCATCACAGCCCTAAAAAGGTTCATAAAATTCGTATTTTCATGCAGCCCTTATTAATTGAAACAAAAATTGTTTTTTGGTAACAATTTAGATATAAAAACCGCAGTTCATAATTGTAGAAAGAAATATTTCAATTAAATAACTGTAGTATAGTTCGTATTTATTCGTAACTGCGTGTACACGCTTTATACAATTAATTAGCATAATTTTGTTTCTGGTAATGAATAACATATTGACATAATTATATTTAATATTAGGATATTCAATCTGCTAAACATCGAGTTTTGAACATTGATTAGGGTATGCCTCCACACAAAAGTGGTCAATGTTATTTAATCATCGTTTCGTATTAAAAATGAAAGGGATATTAGCAGCGCGGAGCTTAAGTGCTGTTTTCTTGCTAATATCATCTGTCACATTCACTTATACAGCATGGCGTTGCAACCGCGACAATAAATGAACACATTTCTAACGCTACGTGCCAAAAGGTAATCATAAAAAATATAAACGTGAAAAAAACATAATTTAAAAAAATAATTTTAAAAGTAATAAAATATAAAAGAACCCAAAAGAAAAATTTGTAACGTCCTATACATCTACAACTGACTGACGGCGACTTTTTGATTCGTTGCCACTTGTCGCATTACAAGTCCCTCTTTTTTTTTTTTCGTGGGAAAAATCCTTTATGGACCCCTGCCACTGGATCGGGAGAGTGGCAGGGGTATGTGGGAGTCCCGGTGAGAAACGGGTACCCACTAAAAAACCCACGTTGCACCTGTCACTGTCGCATCGGCCGGGGACACGGAAAAACGTGGACGCAATCTTCCGCGACCCCGGCGCGACTATGGCCCTGTTTAGGCCTCCTCTACTGCATCGTGCTGTGCCGGTGCAATTGGCACAGCACACGTCTCGAGCTCCATATTGAGCGACCGACACCCCCATGTCTGCCGCTCAGTGTCTCGCTATCAGGGGGGAAGGTTGCGCGCGTAGGCCAGCCTCCTGCGCCCTGGTCTCCGGCGGCGGATTTCCAGGGTGGCAGTTGCCTCCCTTTCTCTCTCCGCGGCCTCCTTCCGGGTGATAACGTCCTCGCAATATGCGAGGACAGCACCCCACGCTCTCTCGCTGTCAACCATAGCGCGAACCACGGATTACAAGTCCCTCCTAACAGTGTGTTGATTTTATGTCTTTGAAATTCATTCAACCAATTTCTTTCATCCAATCATCCGCTCACCAAACGAAACGCAGAAGTGTAACACTTACCACTTCACGCCTATATTCTGTGAGGTTGTGGTACTTACCCGGACGGACCTGTCCATTCGTGCAACAGTGAACACTGCTGCGTGGTCCTACCACAGTCTTCCTCGGACGAGTATACATCGAATTCCGTGCGTGGCCCTACCACAGTTAACTCGACTTCTCAATTCTTATCCCACTTTCAGTGTCGCTGACGGCCATGGCTTTCGCAATGCCAGCGAACACGTCGGGCTCAATTTTCTGCTACTGCAAACCTGCGCCGCCCATCTGCGCCAGCAACGGTGTGACCTACACGGGCGAGTGCAACATGCGCTGCGCCAACAACTGGATCCCGGAGAAGCTGTACGTCGTCCACGATGGACCCTGCCCGTAGGGGCCATCGATAGAGAGCGAATAAAAAATACCAACCCCTCGTGAAGGACGGAAAACGATTGCTCAATTTTTATTTAACTAACAAATAGCTTACACTTCATCGAAATCCTATGAAATTGACAAAGGACACGAAGTGCTACCTAATCCTAATTTGTTCCTATAATTTGACAAACAGTCTAGAATCATTCGTTTTAGGTATTCGATAAGTTTCTTTACCTGTTTCTATGGTATATTAGCCCTGAATATATTTAAAACGTCGAGAAACGTCTATAAGGGTTCATGGTCAAACGCAGCTAAAGAATGGAATAACCTGTCGGCTTCCGTCTTCCCGTCCGATTACAACGTAGGCGTCTTCAAGGCAAGAGTGAATAGGTTTACTGAGCTAGCGCGCTTAACATCAACGGCTGCATCGCCACTTACCATCAGGTGGGATGGCAGTCAAGTGCTGGCCAGTTTTGAATTTAAAAAAAAACATGTAAAACGCGATAAAATCCGTAAGACAGTTTCATTTCACAATGTATAATATTCGCGTAAAAACAAGAAATCAATAGATATAGATTTTGCTTACTCTGCTTACACTTTAAATATACTTCTGGAAAATATAAAATTTGGATAGCAATTTAGAGTGGATCGAATTTTCAACAAACATTCTCGAATACAATTGAAAAAAAAATTCAAAAGTGGTCCAGCCGTTTAGGAGGAGTTCAGTCATCCACACGCACAGAGTACATATATCACTACATAGTATAAAACAAAGTCGTCCCGCTGTCTGTCTGTCCCTTTATGCTTAGATTTTTAAAACTACGCAACGGATCTTGATGCATTCTTTTTACTAGATACGAGTGATTGAAGAGGAAGGTTTATATGTATGATACATTGCACCCGTGTTAAGCCTGGGCGGGTCGCTAGTATAAAGATAAAAGATCTAGCCCACGGTTCCGGATGTTAATGGTCAGTGTTCCTTAATTATTGAAGGCCTGTAATGCCTGATGAGCGACGAATAAGCCATATTGATTGATGATAGATCACCAACATATTGGAGAGCTCCTTCCGATGTATGATGCGCTTTATTGATTACTACATTTTAATTTTATGTTCCCCCGTGCGAAATATTCGCACAGTTCTGTGATCAGTCACCAAATAAATTTATCAATGAAAGGTATAATATTTTGAAGTATACGTGTGAATTTCAGTCGACTACATTTCGCCTACATTTCATTTAAACAAACAGTCAGAAGATGGAACTATAGCTAATGTTTTAAGTTTTTCAAAGTTTTTTATGAAAACATTCTTTATAGTATTTGTCTATAATGCATTTTTAGGGTTCCGTACCCAAAGGGTAAAACGGGACCATATTAAGGTCTCGCCTAAGACTTCACTGTCTGTCTGTCTGTATGTCTGTCATAGTCAGGCTCTATCTTATTAACCGCGATAGTAAGGCAGTTGAATTTTGCACAGGTGATGTATTTCTGTTACCGCTATAACAACAAATACTAAAATGCATAATAAAAAAAATTATGTATATACAAATGGGGCTCCCATACAAGAGACATGATTTTTTGCCGTTTTCAAAGATAAGTACAGAATCCTTCGTGCGAGTTAGACTTCGCTTTTTTTATATATACTTTTGGCCAATTAGCTGCAAACATAAGCTTTAAATTTGTGTTTGAATATCGCATCATTTGAATTGTCGAAGAACCACAAGAGTTACGACTGAAAAATGTCACCCACCAATTCAGGGATCATCCATTCATCAGGTGAGGTTTAAAATCGGGGGTCAGCAAAAATCACAAAATATCACAAGAGTTTGTAGTGAGATATCACGCGTATTTATTTTTTCGTTAATCTCGACAATTTCTAAATTGAAAGGCTCCGTGTGAGCTTGCTGTACCGCTGTTGCAAAGGAGACTGAGAAGAACTAAAAAATACACATGATTTCGTGGTGAAAACGGTTAGGAGAGGTGGTGTTCTCTAAACCTAACCAAGTATTTCTTGGGAAAAGGGGGCGTCAGAAAATGTTAAAAAAAACATGCATTGCAGTCTTTGGGGACTGCCGACAAAAGTGAAAACTGAGTAAGTTAACAATATTTAATATCTATATTTTTAAATAAATTAATTATTATGTTAAAGTTATTGTTAATAATTATTTTAAAGTTAAAAATATATATATACATATATATATATATATATATATATATATATATATATATATATATGTATATATATAATAATAACAATTAAAATAATTAAAAAGCGTTCGGTGACGATGACGCGAGTTCTTCAAATGTTGTGGCTGAATTTTGAGCCGGTACCGTTTGAATAGATTTTGCTATCGACACGAAAATAAGAAGATGTATATACCCCAAAAATTGCACTCAAAGATACAGCAGCCTAAGGGGCTACTGTACAATTATAATCACAACTATACAAGCAATGAATTATTGGAACGCCTCGTTCCACTAGTTTTGTACGATTCGTCACAGAATTAATTGAACACGTATTACCTACTGTTAGTATTTAAACATCATATCCTGTTATTGAATATCCTTAAGTTATTAACAGTTCATAGATGCGTACGTCAAGATGAAACTGCTACTGGTGTTTTGTAAGTTAATTGTAATGTATTTACTTCACTTGATTTCTGCACTTCACTGCACTTATAATCTTTGACCAGTAGTTTGACACTATCCAAGATGTTGCTATATAGACTAGATAGAGTTAAATATTATACAACCTCAACAATAATTGCTTTTCTGTAATATCGATTGTATGGATAATTGAACTCATTGAGGGAAAGGTATAATACGATGAGAGAAACGCTGGTAGAACAAACATAATTGTTCAACTGAGAATCCGAGTCATCATTATCATACTGCCCTTATCCCACCTAGGTGGGATCGGCGCAACATATGAATCATGTTGTAAGCGGTTTTGGCTATGTCTTTTACGACCGGCCGCCTGTACCTGCCACAGTATGACAATTAAAGTCGAGGCTTTCTAAGTGTCGCCTTATAGTCCATTGAAATGTTACATGAGCTTTACATTTTTAGAGGACGCAAAGTGGGCTCCCGCTACCTCACTCACCAAACAAAACGCAGATGTATAGCATTGCAACTTCACGCCGGTCTTCTGTGCGGTCGTGGTACTTCCCCGACCGGACCTGCCAATTCGTGCAACAGCGTAGATTATTGCGTGTTAACGAACTCTTTCGAGCCTATAAGACTTTATATTTCATTTACAGTGGCACTGGCGTCTATAGCCAGTGCATTGCCCTGGTGCAACGTGAGACGGAATTTCGAATGCTACTGCCCACCAGAGGCGCCGGTGTGCTCGTGTTTCCTTCGACATATCAAAACTGAACTCGAATGCCAACTGAATAGAGTCATGCCGATGGTTAATTTCAATAAAAATATATAGAAAAATAACAAGTCCGTTTTGAATGCCTAGGACGAAGGTTTCATTAGTAATTACAAAAAAAAAGTGTATACTTATGTACGCGCTTATGTAAGTTATACTTTTTTAGCGTAACAAAAGGAAAATAATTCACAAAAAGCCATTGGGTATAGCACCCTGAAAAATTTTATCCCATGTACCAGTACCATTTGTTTGTGAAAATTATTGATAAATGTTTAATGAAATAACTTGGAATTATAGATAAATGTCAAAAAGTTGTTATTGGTTATTGCCAATGTAATACTAATATTGTCGCTTTTAACATCTTAAAAATTATATCTCGTAAAAGGCTAAAAGCAAACTTAAATAACATTCAAATGATAAACTAATACTAAAATATATACTAGAACAATAAAACTAAAACTAAAAACCTTAAAAATAATGTAATAACTAAAATATATCATTAATAGGAGGTCCTTTAGACAAGGTTCCGAAGATACTGGCAGCGTATCCCCTTTTGGATAGCTAGACTAATTAGTCCGAGGTAGCTGCCAGCTCTCCGTCTTTTTTGGTGAGGACAATGAGGTTCGCGCCAAAAAGAATGGGAACAATTTCTCGATTGACATTACCGGAATACATAAAGTTGATTAATTTAGTGATAGAATTACAAGTTGCTCGCCTGCATCACCCACTGAATGTGATGTTAAGTCTTTCAAATGTTGGGGTGAGATTCTATCCAAACCTGCAGCCGAACCTGGTTTTAAAGATAAAATGGCATCCGTAACATCTTTTTTTTTTTTTTAATTTCGCTTTTTGGTTACACAATGGCGCGTGCACAATTTCTCTCATAATTGTTTCTAAACGGAAAAAAGAAGTATAACTTCAAAAATAATATAATTATTTATTTTTACCTAGATAACGAATGGCAGTGAATCATTATTTCTTCTTCATATGGATGTCCTTGCGGTGAGATGAACACATGTTCAATGGACGTCCTTCCCACCTTACACTTTAGCCCTGCGTTAAACGGTGTAATGTTGCTCGTAACAAAGTACTCTAATGTTCCACCAGGGAGAAACCTTGTTCCTAGAAGCACTTAATGAGAGCTCTAATGTCGTTTTTTACCATTTTGATGTTTTCGCTTCAAAGATACGTATACATGGTGATTTTATAGTAGACGGATATATTAACGGAGCATATGCAGAATTTGATTCTACATCTGAATCTGGTACTTGTGACCTCATTTCTTTTCAAAGATTATTTTTATTTTTTTTCTAACTTTATGGACACCCGAACACTAAAAATTTTTGCTGAACGCATAATAACGAAGCCGCTTATCAATAGGGTGACCACTCTTAACAGGATAAACAAACAATATTTGAATTGATATTTTTATGGTTATTTCTGGTAAAAATAAAATATTTATAATTTACTTGAATTATGGAATGCTCAATTAACATTATGTCAAAGTATGTCTTCGTCTAAAAAATCACCCTGTACATAGTGACTAATGACAGTAAAGTAAAAAACAGACTTCGCTGTTGCACAAATGGGCAGATCCGTTCGGGTAACTACCACGACCTTACATAAGACCGGAGTGAATTAGACGCTGAGGCCTACTTTATTAAAAGGTGGCAACGCATATGCAACCCTACGGGTGTTGCAAATGTTCATGAGCGGCGGTTATCACTTAACATGAGGTGAACCGGCAGCTCGTTTGCCACCTTCTCACATACAAGGAAAAAAAAATGATGTGAACTGGAAATAGCCGATATCATTATTACAACTCGTAATTAAAGTCCATGTTTTTAATTACTTTCTCGGATGTCTCCGGTAAAACAAAGACAAAAAGTGTTCAGACTGTCTATATTCGTTCCACTAATGTCTCACAGAGAACTAATTCATTATTAGAAGATTTATTTTTAAAAATATTTACAATAGACCCCTAAAACAATTAGCGAGACTACATCACTTAATAAACGTTTTAAGATGTAATTACGCAAAAAAAAGTTTAATTAGCTTTTATATTAGCAATGGATTATTGCATCGCTTCGTTTCGCCGGATTTGTGCAATTAGTCACAGAATTAATTGAACGTGTAATACCACGTGTATATTTTTATATATCAAGTCGAAAGTTGTATTAAATAGCGTTCGTTGAATTTTGTCTCAATTGCATCGAAGCCGGACGTCGAGATGAAACTACTTCTGGTCTTATGTGAGTAAATTGTATACATTGTGCGTCTGATCAACTATCAACCGATGTTGTTACGCATACCATACAGGTAATACAGTAATCTGTTCATTGCGAATACTGAACAGCTTCCAACATCACGACAAAAATGACAATACAAGAAACAGTGTTTCTTGTAGTGGTGTATGTCATCAATAGGTCCCACGGACGCGATACTAGCCGATACATCGCGATAAGGAAGTTAATCGTAACGATAGTATATATATTTAGCACCTAGGAATATAAAGAATATTCCTTTTTTTGTGTAAAAGTCAGTTAGAGCGCCGGTTATATTTTTTTATGTGAGAAGGTGCCGTGACAGCCCAGTGTCCGGGCGCTCACCTTTAATTCAATATACTCCAGCAACCTGAGTTCGATCCCCGGTGCCGGCACCAATGAAGTTTTTAACTTTAAGTGCTGACTTATCACGTGCTCAGCGGTGAAGGAAAACATCGTAAGGAAACCTGCATATTTTCGAAATAATAACAAAAAAATATATATATTTCGAAGATATGTGAAGTCCGCCAATCCGCAGTGGGGCCGCGTGGTGGACTATGCCCTGATACCCTCTGTATAGAGGAGGCTTTTGCCCAGCAGTGGGACATGTATAGGCTGTTACTTTACTTTACTTTTTTATGTGAGAAGGTGGCAAGCGAGCTGGCGGTGCGTCTGATGTAAAGTGATAACCGCCCGCCGATAGATATTTCCAATACCCGTAGGGCTGAAGACGCGTTGCCACATTATAATAAAGTGGGCCCCGGCTACCTCACACGTCAGACGAAACGCAGAAGTGTAATACAGGAAGGGTCACGTCGGTCTTCTGTGAGGTCGTGGTATTCACCTGGACGGACCTTTATTTTACGTGGGAAAACTCCTTTATGGATCCCCTGCCACCAGATGGGGGAGGGGCAGGGGTATGCAGGAGTCCCAGTCAGAAACGGGTACCCACTAAAAAACCCACGTTGCACCTGTCTCTGTTGCATCAGCCGGGGACACGGGAACACGAAGACGCAATCTTCCGCGAGCCGAGCTACACCTGGACGGACCTGCCGAAGACTGTTGCGTGGCCCTGGCCACGGTTGAAATTGATTCGTTTCAATTCCAGTGTCACAGACGGCCGTGGCGTTCGCTGACCCGTGGACCACGCCCGGGCCGGGTTTCGCATGCTATTGCCGACCGGACCCGCCTATCTGCGCCAGCAACGGTGTGACCTACTCGGGCGAGTGCAACATGCGCTGCGCCAACAACTGGATCCCGGAGAAGCTGTACGTCGTCCACGACGGACCCTGCCCGTAGGGGCCATAGATAAAGAACGAATAAACAATACCGACCCTTCATGAAGGACGAAATGCGATTGCTTCATTTTTATTAAGCTAACGAAAAACGTACACCCCATCGAAATCCTAATTAGAAATAGACAAAAGACACGAAATACGACCTGATCCTGGTGTTCTAATATTTTCTTTATCCAGTCTCTATGGTATATTAGACCTGAATATATTTGAAATTTTGAAAAAATTGCTTCTGTAACGAAACAACTGAGAAGTATAAAAGTGGATATATATTTAGATTTTTTGAAATTAAACTATTTTACGAATTTTATCGCGTTTTATCAGATATTTAAATTCCCGACAGGGTTTATATCCTGGAAAGGTTTCGAGACGTTGTTTTTTTTTCATGTTATGTTTAACCGTGAGGTCTAAATTAATGAGATAAATTCTCGACTTTTCTAGGGTTCATACCCTGGAAAGGTTTCGAGACATTGGGAATTTAAAAATCGTAGTGCTCGTCAATAGGTTATTGTATTGAGACGGTAAGGCAGGAATTTCTTAAGGTGTCCATAATGTTTGAAAAAATTAAATATAATCTCGGAAAAATAAAAAATATGGTCCTAAGTACGTACCAGATTCATATTAATAATCAAATTTTGCATAATATGCTCTGTTAATATGTCCGTTGTCTATAAAATCACCCAATATACAGGGTGACTTTTAGACGAAGTACAAACTTTAACATAATGTTAATTGAGTATTCCATAATTCAAAAAAAAATAAAAATTTTATTTTGACAAGAAATAACTAGAAAAATATCAATTCAAACATTGTTTGTTTATCCCGTTAAAAGTGGTCACCCTATTGATAAGCGGTTTAGTAATTATGGTTTCAGCGATTTCAGCGAACTTGTTCCTTGCACACGTTTCCAGCAACACGCCTACGTCACAGAGCCCAAGTAGAGGCCTCCAGAGTGAAGCGATTACCTGCTTTATATTCATTATTCTTCCATATGTAAGAGAATACTCAACAAGAATGGCTAAATCTTTTAACAGGTTTCTGTTAAGTATTACCCCTGTCAAGTGAACATCCCCCTATAAAATCCAGGGGTGTACTGGCATGATTGTTAATAATTATGGTATCTCTAATTCAAAGAATAAAATAATATTACATATATTATATGTATATATGTAATAATATCCACCTATTTACAAAAATAACATCACACATCACGTCGGGGCTGTCTTTACACTCTGGAAGTACAGCGTACTACTTTCCTGGTAGATGTGTTAACTTTTATAATAAAATAGGTGACATCCACAAACAACTAAGTATAAACAATTTCAAACATTTTATAAAAGAGATCCACCGTAATGGCATGGATCTATTATAATGTCCAAGGATACACTGAATACAAGGATGTGTGAAAATGACTCTTGCTCTGCACTTGTAAGCCCCCTGGCTACTGCTGATTTTATACCTAAATAAGTTTGTATAATTGTATCTCAAAAAAAAAAAAAGAGATAAAAAGGCCGCGTAGTTTCTTGCCAGTTCTTCTCTGTTCAGATCTAGCTTAGACAACCAAATTCAATAAGAGCTTAAAATTAATTAAGGCTAAATTGAGTTATAAAGAAATTTTGACTTCGACTAATATGGGAAAACAACAGAGCAATCAATCCGTGTCAAGGTACATATCATGTAAGCCATTAAGAAATGTACCAGTTTGTTCACTCTAATATATAATATATAACCTCTAATTTCGTTTTTCTCCCTTTTGATGTTTTCGCTTCGACGATACTTAAGTATATACTGACCAGTGGGTAAAAACAGTCGTCGCAGTTGCACGAAGGGGCAGGTCTGTCCGGGAAAGGTAACCCTGAAGACCGGAGTGAATTGGAAGTTTTATATTTTCCCGTTTTGTCTGGTGTGAGAGGTAGCCGGAGCCCACTTTGTTAAAAGGTGGCAACGCATCTGTTACCACTTAACATCAGGTGAAACGGCAGCTTGTTTGCAAACTTGTCACATAAAAAGAAAGAATTTTATGTGAACTGGAAATAGCCGATATCATCTCGTATTTAGTAAGTTTATTTTTTAATTACTTTCTCGGATGTCTCCGATAAAACAAAGACAAAAAGTGTTTAGACTGTATATATCCGTTCTACTAATGTCTCACAGAGAACAAATTCATTATTAGAAGTTTTATTATTAAAATATTTACTGTAGACCCCTACAACAATTATCGAGAACACATCCTTACTAATATTATAAACGCGAAAGTTTGTATGTATGGATGGATGTTTGTTACTCTTTCACGCAGATACTACTGAATGGATTCTAATGAAAATTTACAATATTAAGCTTATACATCAGAATAACACATAGGCTATAATTTATGTACATATTTTTATGTATCTCTGTCTTTCTGTCTGAATGTTACGCCTTCAGCCTATTCTACGCAGACGTAGTCGCGGGCAGCAGCTAGTCACTTAAACCTTGGTCTGTCGGTTAGCGCACTATGAAAAATGCGCTGTCTGTCGGTGAAAAACAGTCGCGCAATTTAGCAACTGCGTCTTTCTTCGGAACAATATTTGTAGTGAAAACCATAATCTATATGATTTAGGTTTATTTTAAAGCTAAATCATATAGATTATGGTTTATTATAGGATGGCTTAACTTTACACTTATTATCTTTTTGCCTTTGAAGAATGTTTGTTTTGTTTACTAGAAGCAATTCTTACTATAAACTATCAATAAATACAACATCCTAAAGAAAAATATCAATAAGTAATTCATGATAAACGTTTTAGTTTTTTTATTTGTTGTTGTTGTGTTATTGTTTTGAATAAATATAGATAAAATGTGTTTTTCTTTGATAAAACTTAAGAAATTTTAGTATAAATATCATATTTTATTGGTGCGTTAGTAGAGCAGATGTGCGTTCCGACACAACAGTCTGAACACAGATCTACGTTCCGACACTGACTACACAGGATGTTTCAATTTTCAAGTAAGTTCCTTTCCTACTTCCAATAAAAAAAATTCAAAGTAATATTTTATTGTGCTATTCTTGGCACTTAAGACGAAACAACAAAATTTGTAGCAAAAAAGATTTTATTAATGACTCCATGCCAAGATAATGGCTTCGGCGTCGGGGGTCGTGGGTTTGATTCCCACATGGGACAACTATTTGTGTGACCCACAGATAGCACCATTTCCCACAACCCAAACGACCGCAAGCGTGAAAAGTAACCTTGCCATCATCTGACTCAGGCGCCAAGCCACCAAACTCTTAGGGCGCTTTGGTGGACGCTCCATGGAGTGACTAGGCTCTAGGGCCCTCGAGAGGGGATCTCAGCGTGGGCTGTCACTCAATACCCGTTTAGCATTCCGATTCGAGGGTGCCGAAGAAGGCTAGACCTCGGCGCAATCGGTAGCTATTCTGTAAGAATTTCTAAGTCTAACATGACTACCATTCCGGAAAGCGTTGGCGCTGGGAGAAGTGGCGAAAGAAACTCCAACGACGCGTCTACTCGCCGGCGAATGCGGTATGATCTGGTGTGTTTGCGTAATTGTTTTATCCAGTCGATGGCAATAGTCGTCTCATCATCAGGGAAATCAAGGATGTGTTGTGGTCTGCGCCATTTGCGACGGAACGTACCTAGCATTAAGGGTCTGTAGTTGACGGCACCTATGACTAACGGATTGGCCCCGAAAATGGCTAGCGCTGTTCCTTTCATAGACCGTTGCAGTGTGCTACTACCCTTCTATCTTCCAATAATATATTTTTGTTAATTTCCATTACAATAGGTAAATTAACACTAAGTGGATAAAATGAACTCTAACCTTATCTTTAAATTTTATAGCGATGAAGTAATTTCAAATCAATTAAAAAAAATGTAATGTTCAACCAGAGAACAAAAAAAATTTCTTTTATGAACATCCTATATTTCCGAGTCTTTATACGTTACAATTTGACACGAACAAAATTTCTGTTAGATGGAAATGTTTTTTTCAAATTTACATTTAATTTATAATATCTGTATAGAATCAAAATGATGTGTAAGATAATTAGAATGTGTAATTCAAACTACGAAATATCAGTAGTCGAAAATGAAACAGAGATGACGAACGGATACATACTTTTTATGTTCTTCGTTTATCGTTAAATTCTTAGTAATATTGCATTTTTCGATACGCTATCATTGTTTTATGTACTAAATAATAAGAATAGAAAAAATACTTACCGTTTTCGATATTTGTTTCACAAAAAACAGTAATTCAAATATATAAATGAAAACATGGAGATATTCGAAATAGTTGTGATAGAATAAATAGGTTTTTACCAGTAATAATTCTTTTAGCTATCAAAGTACGGTTCATTCATTCCTTCGCTAATTTCTCGATCGAGTTTCACGGGAAAATTAACTCTATCTAGTCAGCAAATAGCTCACTATTAATCATAAACGATCTGGCGTAGATCTACGTTCCGACAGTCAACGGAAGCACAATTTGGCGCGCAGATCTACGTTCCGACGAACCAAAGGTTAATAAACGTTTTAACATGTAACTACGCAAAAAAAGTTATATTAGCAATGGATTATTGCATCGCTTCGTTTCACCGGATTTTTTTACAATTAGTCACAGAACTAATTGAACGTGTAATAGGACCACGTGTATATTGATATAACAAGTGAAAGTTGTATTAAATAGCGTCAGTTGAGTTTTGGCTCAATTGCATCAAAGTCAAAGTCAAAGTATATTTATTCAATATAGGCCTAACTTAAGCTCTTATTGAACGTCAACAAAAATCTACCACCGGTTCACTAAACTAGACCTGCACAGAGAAGAACCGGCAAGAAACTCTGCGGTCTTGTTCTTTTTGTTATATATATTTTTTTAATGCAATTATACACACTTATTTGGGTATAAAATCAGCAGCAGCCAGGGGTCTTGCAAGTGCAGAGCAAGAGTCATTTCCAAACATCCTTGTCCTCTATGTATTCTTGGATATTATAATAAGCCATTAAGGTAGCTTTTACAAATTGTTTGAAATTGTTTATACTTAGTTGTTTGTGGATGTCACCTATTTTATTATAAAAGTTGATGCATCTTACAAGAAACGACTTTCTGGTTTTAGCTAATCAAAACCTCGGTACTTCCAGAGTGTCACCAGGGCCCCGACGCGATGTGGATTGTTTTTTCGTAAATAGGTGGATATTATTACGTACATACATGATGTTCTCAAGTATGAAAAGCGACGGGAGCGTCAAGACGTTTATTTGCTTAATCGTTCAAATAAATAATCAAGACGTTTATTTATTTGCGGCATCGAAGCCGGAGGACGAGATGAAACTACTTCTGATCTTGTATGAGTTAATTGTATACATTGCTTGTCTGACTATCCCATCGACTATCAATCGATGTTTTTATGAATACCGCACAGGCAATACTGTAAGCTTGATGCTTGCTTGATTTTTTTGATGACTCGGGGGTCGTGGGTTCGATTCCCACTTTATGTATACCATGCAGGACATACCCTATTAAGACTTAGCCCGCTCTACTCGTTGCCTTAGCCAATATTTGAACATATTTCATATGTAGGTTCATATAATAGTTTCTTCGTAAATGAAACACCCGTGAAAGCACAAGCAATTAAGCATGGCATAAATGATGTGTTGTAAAATCAATTCTGTCTTGATTGCCGTAAATATTTTTAGAATTTAAAAGAATAACTCAGTCGCCTAAAAAGTTAGATTCTAGTTAGTAGCTCGTTTTCGAAAAAAGTTAATAATACAAGTTTCAACTATTAACAGAAACTAGGGATTGAGGGTAGGACAAAGCAGGCTATGACTTGTGTCGTCGGAGTTGGAACTTGGGTAGATGTCACAAAGACCACTGCTACACAGAAGGTCTACTGTAGCCAACTAAGCGAGGTAATGACCTTATCCTATCCCGCGCTCGTAGTCTGCAAGCCATTTGTCCGATTTATCTTTTTTTTTAATTATGGAAATCAATTTATGACCAGACTGGTGCCAAAACCCAGCATAGTGTCGTGATCAGTCATATAAGTATTTATCGATGAAGAATAGCGACTATTTTTCAGTCCATTTCGCTATTTTTAAATAAAACAAATCGTCAATAGATGGCAGTATCATACATTCTTAATTATTAAAAAGTAAAAGTAAGGTAACAACCTATAAATGTCCCACTGCTGGGCAAAGGCCTCCTCTGTACAGAAGGTATCAGGGCATAGTCCACCACGCGGCACCACTGCGGGTTGGCGGACTTCACATAATTTTTTCAAACATTTTTTTTTTGTTATTATTTCGAAACTATGCCTCACGATATTTTCCTTCACCGCCGAGCACGTGATAAATTATTATACGATTATTTTTAATGAAAACATTAACTTTATTCTATTTGTCTTTTCGTAAATAACGGAAAACATATGGTTTAAAAAGATTAAATTTGATAAAGAATAATAGAAGTTATAGCGTATCGAAAAAAAAACACCTTTGAGAAATAGATGATACTAAGACACCTTTGAAATAGAGATGATAATACATATTGTTGTGATTGAACGCGGTCTTGAAGAGAGAAGAAGAGAAAAGAAGAGAGCATACTCTTTCCTAAAAGGCCGTCAATGCATTGGTAAGCCCTCAGCCTCCTGTTCGTTTGCCCCTTTCCTCCATAAAATAAATAAATATAAAAGCGGTTCCCGCAAGCGATTGCCAGCTAGTTTAAACTTATAGTGGGTCCCGGAGAAGCTGTACGTCGTCCACGACGGACCCTGCCCGTAGAGGCCATCGATAGAGAGCGAATAAAGAATACCGACCCCTCGTGAAGGACGATAGACAATTGTTTCATTTAAAAAAAATATTTTAGGACACATTTTAACACAACGTTCTCTAGTCCGAAACTAAGCAACGCTTGTACTATGGGTATTAGATAACTAATAAACATACTGAAACATTATTTTCTTAAATAAATACATATTATACATATTTAAACACCCAGACACTAGAAGAACACAATGTTCATCACACAATATTTTTCCAGTAGAGGGGATCGAACCCACACCCTATGAAGCAGGAAGCAGGTACACTACTCACTACGACATTCGGGTCGTCGTCATTTCATTTGACTATTAGATGCAAAAGCAAAAGGTAAACGTTTTTGATGCATGTTTTAATGCTATCAAAAACATTTTAACTGTGGTAGAAAAATTACAACCCACCCATAGATCCACTACAACATTCACATCAACATATTGCATGAAATAGAATTAAATAGAAAGAATAAAATAGAACACAAGGTTTAAAAGCACTAACGAATTTTGTTCTTTAGAAGGATAGAAAGATCTCAGATTGGGAACAAAAGTGTAAATCCCGGTGAACGCAGAAATAAATTCGAATCTCGCAACTCTTAAGTAGGCAACGCATCTGCAACCCTATGGGTGTTGATGTCCATGGGCGGCGGTAATCGTTTAACAGACAGTGGTTAGCGATTAGTGGCGACATAGCGACATACCTATCGATGTATGTTACACAAAATCTTATAATTATCTATATCAAATTAAATCAAAAGTACAAATCACAAATTAAATCAAAAGTGCAAAGCTCGGTTTGTTTTTTGGTAAATCATGTATTTTGGAAATTACATTTAGATACAAATTACTGAGAAATTAAATATGCATAATATTTTTCGATCTTACCGACGTAATAATAAGAAAATATGAAGTGGTGTTTTTCACAAAAGAAAAAATTTTTAAAAAAAGGGAAAAAAATAACAAAATAAAGAAAGCAATGATCTGAAATCGAAAAAAAAGTAAAAAAATAAGTGTGTAAATGATCGTGATACGAATCACGGCCGTCTGTTTTGGGGCCGCTCGAATACCGACCGAGCTATTATAACATTTTTTTTTGCGGCGAAATTTACCGTCATATGCGAATGATATTTTTCATTCCCTGAAAACAGGGATAAAAGGACATTTTCTAAAAATGAAACCTAGCTAGATCGATTTTTCGCCCCCGAATCTACGCACATACTAAATTTCATGAAAATCGCTGGAGCCGTTTCCGAGATTCCGATAATATATATATAAGAATTGCTCGTTTAAAGGATAAGAGATACATTTATCGCATAGATGCTTGCGCATTCTTATGCAACGTCAAATTTTACATACAAATTAATATGTTCGTAAGTTACCACCTATATACAATATATGTATATAATAATTATCTATACTTATATATTAAAACTAGCTGACCTGGCATTTGTTATATTGCTTTTTGTTTACTAGGGTAGAAAAAAAATGTTTGGATTGGACCACCCTTATCACTTAGGGATATTAAATATAGATTACGAATAATCTCAATATTTGTTATTGCAAATTATTTTTTATTAGATGACAAAGAGCTATCTGTGAATCCCATAAGATTCTAACGGATGATAGAAAATAGAAGATAAATTTATCGACTGAATTGAGTAAGTATCCAATAGATGAGGCTATGCTAAAAGTAGAAATGTATGGACCTGGTAAAAGACAAAGACGCAGTCGAAGTTGCGCCGCGGGCCAACCAGTGTACATGTGAAATTTCATAAAAATTGATCAAGACCATCAAGATCGGAGGAGTACGGCAAGTAACATTTTGACACATGAATTTTATACACATAGATTTTGTGTAACTAATTAGATGAACTAGTAGGGGGAGTGAGGAATATATAGGTTTTGGCCTAAAGCCATGAGAAAGGCAAAAGAGTAGATGGAGAGAAACACATTTACAATACTAGCCACTAAGATGAGCAGACTTGGTAAGTTTTGAGTATTCTATTTACTTGTTTAGCATGCGTCCAGATAATGGAGATCAGAATGCAAGGAAACTGCAATTGACGGAGTTGGTGAAAGACTCAATAACTAAAAAAAACAAGTCATCAACATTATCACAAGGGTAAATGTAAAAAGGGTAGTCCAGTATGTGCAATTTCATGATGTACTTTGGTACATCACGGTGATGTAAACAGGATAGAGGACAAGCTCTACATTATGTATCAAGGTGAAGGCAAAGACCTTACAAAGTAAATAGAATAAAAATTCAATTTTTCTCATTGCATTTTATGTGTTTAACAGAAGTGGTTAATAGAAATTTCCAGAAATAGGGCCAGATCAAAACAAAAATATTGATTATTCAAATTTTTCACTCATTTTTCATTCCTAGGTGTTTGTTTATTCACTGAAACACAACTTAAGTTCTTGATGATAGTTTACTCGCCATAAACAAGATCAATTATTTATTGACATTTTTTTAAATTTTTATTAGTATCAAAAAGTTGATTATAAGTACAGCATTTTCAGAATTATTTCACTAGTCAAAATGCAATGCTACTTGCAATTTCTTATGAACGACAATATCTTTACAGGCAAGCTTAATAAAAAATCATATATAAACTTTTTTTTTGGGATTTCTTATTAGATATTTAAATAATATTTCCTTTAAGACAAAATCTACTCACCCCATCAGTTATTTGACAGAAGTGCACAGCAACACTCGCATTTGTTATGTTGGGATACTTGCTAGATGAATGTATCAGCACAGAGATTTTCTTAGACCGGATCTTGGTTGCACGGTAGCCAAATACAAAGAGCATGGAGTCAATGACATTGCTCTTACCACTTCCATTTGGTCCAATGATAGCAGTGAAGCTCTACAACAAGTTCAACCAAACCACTATTTCAACCCACTTTTATTGTCCACCACAAATGAGAGTATACATAAAAGTGATAATAGAACAACAAATTTATGCTATGTACAATTTGGCAGCCTTATCGCTTCATAGCGATCTCTTCCAGGCAACCAATGGTGCAAAGGTAAAATATACTACATATGTGGTGCAATAGGAATATATACATAATATATGATTAAAGCAGATACATACAATAACATATACATATGTAGAAATAAAAAAATTTACTCAACATCTCTGTACTATTAATGAAAAGTATTGCAAATAACTTAGTTTGATTCTATTTTCAAATGCCATATAAACTATGTTAAAATCCATAAACTAGTTTAATTAAACTCTTTAATATGCATATTGATATGAAAAATTATTTCTCAAATTTACTTTAATTAGCTACATTTAACTATAGAGCTAAACTTTTCTATGATAAATTTATTAAATCCCTTTAAATTTATTTATATCATTTTTCAAGCATACTTCAAATAAAAAACGAGTAAAACGAATATCATCAATAATTTTTGATAATAATTTTTGTTTACCTTATGAAAAGGGCCCAAAGTTTGAACTCCAGCATAACTTTTAAAATTTTCGTTTACAATGTGGGTTATTATCAGTCTGGGGCCAGTAGACTCGAACGTGAGGGCTGGCTTTGAAGGTGGCGGTACATAGATATCTCCAACATGAATACCACCGTCTTCATCATCATAAATCTGATCTACTACACCATTAACGGCGTTGCGGCAAGCAGGTGGAGCTTCCTCGTTGTCTTGACCATTCTGTTCCACATCAGAGGAGTTTTCGTCAACATCCATGGCTTCTTCATTACCATTCCGTTTCTTCTTCGTTTTCTGCATTCTGTATCTTAAGAATTTTCAAACGCCTATTCGTATATTTTAAACAACAACCGTTCATACAGTTTCGCCACAATGACAGACGAAAGTTACAGTTGTAGACTATACAAATAAAGAAATATTTTTGATGACAGATGTTAGCAGTTTCAGTCCGCAGACTACTAGGTATATAAATTTTCATCGGACTCAAAAATCGTTAAAAAGCTGTTATGATGACAACTTTACGCCATTCGCTTAGCTGCATCTCCAGAATCGCAGCTGCTTCTGCTGTTGCACGAATGGGCAGGCTCGTCGAAGAATTACCACGGCCTCAAAGAAGACCGGCGTGAAATGGAAGTATACTTTTGCGTTTTGTCTGGTGAGTGAGATAACTGGGGCCCACTTTTTTAAAGGTTAGCAAATGTCTTTGCAACCCATCAGGTAATGTCGATATACATGGGCAGCGCGCGATAATCACTTCACATCAGGTACAACAAGCAGGCGGTTTATCAGATGTTAAGTGCATGCCTCACTTGTCAACTTTGATATAAAAAAAGACTAATAAGGTAAAGCACAACCAATCAATCCAAGGACCCTTCATATGGAAGTCTGAAGCGTATTCAGAGGAAATTATACTAATTTCCAACATTCCTGCACGAAAATGAAATCACGGAAACAATTACCTTACACAAAAAATGAAACGTTTAAAAGATCAGAAAATTTATAAAAATAGTCAAAACTCAGAAAAGATGAAATACAAGAAACAAAAGGTTTCGTATTACAAATTCAGATCTCTTTATTCATACGTGTCTCTAATAATATACGCTATAACCAAAAACACCTATCAGGCTTGCTATTAAATAAGAATACGGACATGACGGGATTTAAAAGCGGCCTGGTATAGTGAATAGGTTACTAATAGTGGGCCTCGCACTGACGGCGCTGAGTCTGACTGTTGGCATCGGTGGACTTTAATTCGTTCAGCTCTCTGTCAACTTTGTTTGGAGACGATGCAATGCTAGGTGGCGATGGAGCTTTTAAATTATTTGTCATGTCTGTTAATGTATTGTCCGGATAGTGTACCTTAGCCCAGTCACTGCCCCAACGGTTCAAATCCCCCTAAGGCCTTACTACGTTTCCGTACAATATAATACCCTTCTTCCTACCTCCCTTCCCCATTCTCACCTCCCCACAACACCCATACTTGGTCATAAAAGTATCTTAAATACATAAAAGTATCATAAAGTAGCATAAGACTCTAATATCTCAATAGTCTACGACCTCACTGAAATCGCGGTACTGCACACAAAACTAAAACAGCAGAGTTATCCGAGAGAATTAAAACTCTAGACAACAACACTTATTCACTGTAAAATGATAGAAGCGATTAAACATTTCTGCGTAAAAATAGCTACCTGACGAGTACTGTAATTGCGAAATGTATTGAGATGAAGGCTGATAGAGGAAAGTGGAAAGAAAGGACATGATGCGCCGTCAAGAAGACTACTTGTCAAACTGAGGTTTCAATTTCGAGACCACGGAGAATAGGTCTATTTCAATAGTGCCCCTGAGAGCGGGTGTTCCACTTGGATTACTTTCATCTACCCTCCATTACTACACTAATACACCAGGAATATTCCTAAGGTCAAGTCGGTACTATACGCTTAGGACATCGCCCTGTACGTGGCTAATTTCAACAAAACCCGGTTTATTATATCCTCTTTCAATCTGCCATTCTGTATAGCATAGTTAAATATTTCGAAACCATTTATTGAAATGGCAATTTAATAGCATACGTCAAAGTCAAAGTCAATTATGCCATAGCGGGCGCCGTGAAAAATGGCGAACCGTACAGTAAAAGACGCGAAGTCAATTCGTGGTACTAACCCTCAATATTTGGTTGAAAAGATCATAAGATCACGTATATACGATTCTAAATATTGGAAGGAAGAATGTTTTGCCTTAACAGCGGAGTTACTTGTCGACAAAGCCATGGAATTACGATATGTAGGTGGTGTGCACGGCGGATTCATTTATCCCACTCCATTCTTATGTTTAGTGTTGAAAATGCTACAGATACAACCTGAAAAAGATATTGTGGTTGAGTTTATCAAGAATGAAGAATTTAAATACGTGCGTGCCTTAGGCGCATTCTATATGAGGCTAACTGGTACATCGGTTGATTGCTACAAATACTTGGAGCCACTTTACAATGATAACAGAAAATTGAGGCGACAGAATAGACAGGGACAGTTTGAAATTGTTCATATGGATGAATTTATCGACGAACTACTGAGGGAAGAGCGTTTGTGCGATGTTATCTTGCCTAGAATACAGAAAAGGCATATTTTGGAGGAGAATAATGAATTAGATCCAAAAATATCAGCTTTGGATGATGATCTGGATGAAGATATGCCATCAGACGAAGAGAATGTTGATATTGAGGCCAAAGAAAATAGGAGAGATAAAGATATTGTTCGACGAGATAGAGATAAGAGAAGAGACAGGTATGTTATGCGAAGTTCAGTACTTTACTATGAATTTGTATATGATAACCTGTTTGTCCATTTAATAGTTTATTACTGCCAGGGAATCAATTGGTACATTTTTTTTCTCTATGTTGTGTTTTTGTTGAAAGTTATGACTTTGCTTGAAAAATTCCTTCCATTTAGGCTTTCTTGTGTATCAACCAGAATTGTAAGCAGCAGTACTATGACTGTGATAAAACATGATATACTATGTATTATTTGTAACACCTTATAATTTGTAACAAAAAAGTCATAAGTCTGTTTTAACGACATTTAGTATTGAAAGTATTTTAAAGAAACAGTTCATTGTTCTTGAAAATTCTGCAGCTGGAAGAGCTAAAGAAGGAATTTGACATCATGATCCACCTAAAATAATATTAGCATCCATAAAATAGCTTTGTATACAATTTGTAGTAAACATGTAAATCCAACAGATTAATTAAAGTTAAACACTTGAATAAACTTTTATTTAAGATGTTACTTCTTGGACATAAATTTCAAGCAAATTGTTAAAAATTAAATGGAACTTTTGAAGTTATACTTCTTTTGGCGCATTAGCTCACATTAGCTCATTAACGTACACCGTCACGAAACACCAACACCCTGAAGTTAGCTAGACATCTACATATGTTTGCGTGAGAACTGAAAACTGTATTCACGATATTTATTTTGTGATATTTAAATAAACTTTTTTTAACTAGATAATGTTTTATAATAAAACTTTCTATGTATTAAATAGCTTTTTTCTATTGTTAGTGTCATTTTTTCTATAAACGTAGAATAAGGCGAAAGCTGAAATTTTTTAAAAGATTTTAAAACAAAACAAAAATGTGAATACCATTATATTGTACATTTTTGTTCATTTATGTATAGAAATTTATGATTTGAATATTCATAGACTAGCACAAAAATTTAAAATAGATCCAAAAATGTGATTACCCTCTTAAAATTATTGTCAAAAAATTATTTTGTAATGGCAGATTTTCTTTGCATCTCAAGATTTTATAATTTTTTATCTCAAAATCGAAATGTCGGCGCATATTTTTTCTTCTTAATCATTGTTTTGATTATGTTCATCTACCGATTAAAAATACTTGTTTATGTAAAACGTTGCCCCTATTGTAAATGATTTTAATTGATTATACTCCAACACGCTTTCTTTAAGTGGGATCTTATTTCTCAATTTTCTACAATTGTTTCAGATCACGCGATAGAGATCGACGTGATAAAGATCGGAAAAGAGATCGCTCGAGTCGAGAGCGTGATCGCAGGCGAGAGAGAGACAGGGAAAGAGAGAAGGAGAGAGATAGGGAGAAGGAAAGAGAAAGGGAGAAGGAGAAGGATAGAGAAAGGGAAAAGGAGAGAGAAAAGGAAAGGGAAAGGGAAAAGGAGAGAGAAAGAGAAAAAGAGAGAGAACGAGAACGAATACGAGAGCGAGAAAGAGAAAAAGACAGGCGAGACAGAGATAGGCATGATGGTGACAGAAGACGTGATAGGAGTGGTAGATATTAGTTATATAAGAAAAATAAACATTTGTAATACATTCAAGCGTTTTATTGCAATTAAAGGTATAGCATTATGTATATTATAAAGATGAAATGAATAAATATTTTGTCAACTTTAATAAATGTATATTTTAGTAAAAAAATATTTACAGTACATACTATCATTAAAAATCTCAATCTCTTTTAACAGTTTATTTCTATCTACTGCAAGCCTACATCTAGCTCCAAAATAATTTTCGTTAAAATGTTAATTTATTGTTGCTTCTACTGCCTGATTTTAAAGCATATGTAATATTGCTTTATCATACCCATGGTGCAGCTATTATCAGATAATTTCCCTCAATTTTCAATTATGCCTCTTTTAAATTCATGAAAAACTCATACTATAATGTTATTACTATACTTATTTTACATAAAGGGTTCAGAATAAATATATTAATATAGATTCCTTAAATCACACATGATAATAATTAAAAATTAAAATTATATGTATAAAGATTTGATTTATTTTCAATAAAAAGATTAACTTGCACAATTTTAATATAACTGTGATCATTGCTAAATAAATACAATAAATCATCAGTGGCTAAGAAAGGAGTTAACTGTATTCCAGAAAACTTATACATTCTACTATGGCTATTAACATTTCATAAATAGGTTAACTGAAAATTTATTTACAAATATAAGTTTTACTAAATTCTACCAGGTATAGCAAAAACCCTGTGGATGTTTAAAATGACTACTGTTCAGATGCCTAATGGACATTTGTCCAGTTAGGTGTTGATTGTAATCTATAGCCCTATCGATAATTAATATTTCTTTCGCACAGAGTAAAATTATTAACATTAAAATGCAAAATATTTTTATTAAATGAAAATAGCTCATGTACGGAAATTACAGATTTTGCACTGTTAAGGCTTTATGGACCGATAAAATAAATTTATCGGTCCATTAAGATAATTTAAATTTGAATATGAAGATAATTTTAAATTGAAATTAAAGATAATTTAAATTTATAGCAACAAAATCTATACATGGAGCCTTTTCTAAGTGTATCCATTTTTTTATTAAATTCTAGACAAATGTTATGTAAAAATAATAAATATTTAAAATCACTCGTAATTAATTAAATACATTCTTTTGAACTTATCTCAAAAAGTGCGTGATTATTTTACGCGCTATCATTCATAAGCAACGCGCACACAAGTTCGTTTCAAAAGAATACGACGCATTTATGAATGATTATTTGACGCATTGTTAAGTTCTGTTTTTTAGGGAATGGAATGGTGATTTTTTTTTTAAAAAACAATTTTTTTCTATTTCAATAAACGATTATACTACCGAGTCTGAACCTCCTGTGTGAATTTGGGCACCATTAGAAAAGCCACCCTGTATAGTGCCTGCAACATTACCAATAGATAGTGAGTTACGTAAAAGACGTCACATAACACATATACGTCCTTTGAACTGACTTCATTTGACCATCATTTCAACACTGTATGTGTTCAATTAAATCCAATATATTAAGTACCATTTGCGATTGCAGAATTAAGTAAATGTAATTGTTAGTGTCTAATTATCCGTGTACATGTTACCTGTTCTATTCCTTAACCATTTCTGTTTCAAATCTCACCAAAATTATTACGAAGACAAGCTAGATACATGATTAAGAATGTTTCAATAATAATTTTTATTTTGGGTCTTTCAGTTTTTTTTTTTAGATTTTAACAATTAAAATAAATATTAACATAGTGAGTTGGATGATATATCTTTATAAGGCAAATATTACTTAAAATAAAGGGCATGTATTTTAAGGCCATAGGTGATAAACGCACTAGTTCATTAAAAGCCTATCAAAGAGTACTTTTATATAACTGAAGCCTCTAGTCTGGAAGACTTATTAATGGCAAGTACAATCACATACAGAATTTCATTTAAATTAACATTAAGAAAAGATATCGAATTTTTCCAACTTTAAATTTATAGATATAGCCATACTAGACATAGGAAGAAAGCGCATTTAGGAACTCCTAGTTTCGGAAATTACCTACCAAATATTAATTTAAATTCATAAAGGTCAGCTACAAAATTTCACTTATTAAAATGATAAATATTGTCAAATTTGAGCAATATATTGAATGTTTCTGTTAATTATACAAAGCAATAGTGAAAATTACTTTTTCTCATTACAAAAGTCATTAATGAGTGCATAACTAATATTTTAATCTCAATGTATCGGTTGTGGAATACATTAATGTTCACAGTTCAGTGAGCTGTATTACAGCTTAGTACAGCGAGTATTCAATGAGTACTGTCAAGTGGAAAGGTGAATAAATGTTACGAGATTTTCTCACAAAACCTGAAAAATAACTACGTTGTTCACAACTTTATACAAACGTATGAGAGGAACAGTAGCATGAACGAGAGAGCAGTAGCCTGCTCCCTCAAAAAAGTTTTGTTAAATGAGTCAGCTAACTTGAGACTCAATAAATGGTTAAATTAATCACATGTCATTTGCACATCAAACAGTGTCTAGAGCTACAGGCAAAACAAAAATGAATATGATGAACTAAATTATGCTTTTTGTATACTTCCAGATCTATGAACATGTACATTTATATTTAAATAAAATGTTCCCTTAAAAATGCCTTAAAAACTACCCATAGTAATTTACATATCCTTTGAGATAACGCGAATTAAAACTAATGTGTTTCAATTTCAGTACATAATATTTGTATCTTTAAAAAACTACACCGTCCATTTATAAAATGATATCTATCGAAAATTAACTTAGGTCATACTGGAAGAAGAAAAGTAGTGACTACTTTTGGTAAATGATAAAAGTATGAATACAAGGCAGTTCCCTAATTTACTTCTTTAAGTGTGGCCAAAATATATTATAATTTAGGCAAAAAAACGATAAATATACAACACACATTTTATATTTTTCCCTACAAAAATATACATGTATACACTACGCATGTATTCCTGTGTTATATCTCCAATTATTCATGTATACCTTATATATTATGGGGTCCACCCTATGAGCTGTGAGGGCGTTAAAATAAATTGCGAGTTCTTTAGTTTACTAGCTAGCTTTTGTTACTTTTGTTGTACTCTCACGGAGAGATTTTCGACGACTGTATGTCACACATGATGCATGCTTAATATATAAACCACTTCACTAAAATTTGAAAGTCTACATAATTTATCACATCACTTGTTCCACCACTATAAGTCTTCCGCGCTGGAGATGCGCGTCATCGAGTTCTTTATAAGGCCACTCAGTGTAACGCTGATCCTCTGCTAGAAGGTTGGTGCGTTCATGATGAATATCCTGTTCTCCTCGCGCTTGATCCACTGCAGTAGGTGGTCTACCGCCTTCTTCGTCTGCTCCTTCTCCACCAGGGGATCGAATGTGACGTACAGTTCGAAGCCATTCGTGATCTGGAATCGTAAATACATGATACATATAATGCAGTTGGAACAACGAAGTTGATGCAATGCACAGAATACTGGAATACGGCAATGATTTGGTTAGGTCGTGCTAAGTATAATTGTATATTTGGCTCGTTTAGAGGCTTGGTTAGAGGAAAGGATGAGTTACATTTAAAGTTTTTAGTATTTCCAATATAAAAGATGGATTTTCATAAAACCGAGTAGTGTTATTCGCAACTGTATCTCCAACGTACATTGTTTTGAGCCCGACTGGAGAGGTAAGGAGGCATAAAAAAATAATGTAAAAGCATTCTGAATTTGCGCGGGTAAATACCACGACCTCACAGAAGACCGGCGTAAAGTGGAAGTAAATAGTGAAAGAATAATACTTTCGCGTTTCAATCTGGTGACTTAGGTAGCCGGAGCCCAATTTTGAATAGGTTAGTCATTTCATCTGAAACCATCGGGTGGAGGAGATGTCCATGGGCGGCGGTATTCACTTAACATCAGGTGAACCATATGCTCGCTTGGCAACTATTCACATAAAAAAAAACAACAGCGCACACGACTCACCCATGCCAACACGGTGCTATCCGAGTTCGACTGGAAGATGAACTTGGCCGGCACCGTGGCGCAGTGTATCCTGTTGCAGAAGCTCCTGTAGTTCCTCACGTGGTCTATTTCCGAGAGCGTCTCTGGCCGCCTGGCGGTGACGTCACCGCCCTCCTTATGCAGCGCCCTATAGTCCTGCAGGCGGTCAAGGCTGATGGGGTCAGACGTGAACAGCTGCGCCGTCGACTTGCATTTATACATGAAGTGACGTATGATCGGTATGCCAATGTGCTTTAGCGGGTCACTCGTCGGTAGTTCCTTGCTGCGGCAGAGGGCGTCGTTGATGGCGCTGACGCTCTTGGATCTGATCAGCTTCTCGGCGATGGTGTGCTTCGCCTGCGAGAGCGGGTAGAACGCGTCCCGCTGTACGGTCAGCAGGAGCAGGCACGCCTGGCAGTCCTCCGATATGTACGACACGTGGCCGTGGAGGAAACCCCTGCAAGCGTCGCTTATTCAGAGCGGCTATGGTGCTGGGATCGTTCATTTCAATAAACGTGATGGATGTAAATATTTATATTCAAAGCGGCTAAGGTGATGATGTCGATGATGCTTCAATGGAGACGACGCATGTAAATATTTAGGACACATTTTTACACAACGTTCTCCTAGTCCCAAATTAAGCAACGCTTGTACTATGAGTACTAGTTAACTGATAAACATGCTTAAACATACTTTTCTTTTGTAAATAAATACATATTTTACATATTTAAACACCCAGACACTGCACTATGTTCATCACACAATATTTTTCCAGTAGTGGTGATCGAACCCACACCCTGACGCAGGAGGCAGGTACACTAACCCACTACATCATTCGGGTCGTCAAAATTCTTAATGCTTTAAACTATACGACTTGTATAAGTGAATGTGACAGATGATATAAAAAGTATGACACGGAAAGAGATAGCAGTCTATAAAGTTGCGGTCTAATCACACCAATTGGCGTAATTTGTGAGTTTCGATGCGCTAGTGTCATATCTACCTCGTATTTGTATATAATGTAAAAGGTATAGCTTAATAAGTTCCGTGCGTACATTCGCATCTATCACATCGACATGAAATCACCTAACGAGCAGACAATAAATACGTTTCAAATTAAGGCGGATGGAGTAATGAGTCCGATTGGTGACATTAAATCTATGACGAATTGAAGAGATTATAACTCTTGTTGAAAATAAAATTGAAGATCAAATCTGACCTCAACAACTTAAAACTCACCTCGACCGCCCACTTCACCTAAGTCATTGAACCAATTAGGTCTGGAAGTATCAATTATACAACACATGTGGAATCGTAACAGTTGGGAGAAAAAAAATTGTGACACAGATGAAAGTAATGCAAAGGGCTGAAGTTGTGCCATACACATATACTTATTCATTAATAGAATTAGCTCGGTGTTTTTAAGACATTAACCCTCCCTGGTACCAAACACCCAGATCCGGAATTTATATGTGGCTCACACAATTACTTGCCCCATGCCACGACCCCGTGTCATTGAAACCAATAGCTTAGCAAATGTGCCACCAAGTTGTCATAGAGATCAAACGAGATTGTTTATTAAAAAAATTCTACATTATCATGTACATATTTTTTCAAATTAATCAATAAATAAATATCAATATGCTACTAGATATTAAGACTAGAAACAACTTTTCAACTGTGGTAGGGCCATGTAACAGTCTTCGCTGCACAAATGGGCAGGTCCATCAGATAAAGTACCACAACCTCCTCAAGCCCTGTTTGAAGTGGAAGATTTGTTGTGTGAGTGAGGTAGTCGAGGCACACTCTATTAAGGTAGCAACGCATCTGCAACCCTACGGGTATCGCAAATTTCAATGAGCGGCAGTTTCCCATTAACATCTGGTGAACAGTCTGGTTGCTTGTCACCTTCTCAAATAAAGAAAGGCACTTACGTGGCATCAAATTTGGGCAGACAGATAGGCGTCCAACTTTCAGCAGTCTTAAATGATTCCGAACTCCGCACCAGGTTGAAAAGCAAATGTATATCAGATGGATGCAATGTGTACTTCTTCATCCTAACCAAGGTTATTAATTGATTGCCAGCAATGAGTATTGCAAATACTAAATCTCGTATCTTATTACATGTGGATATAATGGCGTTTGTAATGTTTTCCCGCGCTTTTTCCGGCAGTGGCAGACATCTGACAGCGCCCAATAAAAAGGCGGGATCCTTTTCCATAAATATCAGCAGATTGTCTATTAGCCTTTCTGCCCCGGCCAGAAGTCTTCTTAGATCGTAATTGCGACGTTGTTCAAAAATCCTATTCAACTGTGTGAGAGTTAGGACGGATACTATTTGGTTGAATGCGTATCTGAAATGTTAATAATTATTTTTATTGATTAATAACATACATAATTACCAAGCCGTGATAGCTCAGTGTCCGGGCGCTCGCCTTTAATCCAATATACTCGAGCAACCTGAGTTCGATCCCCGGTGCCGGGACCAATGAAGTTTTTAACTTTAAGTGCTGACTTATCACGTGCTCCGCGGTGAAGGAAAACATCGTGAGGAAACCTGCATATTTTCGAAATATTAACAAAAAAAAATATTTCGAAGATATGTGAAGTCCGCCAATCCGCAGTGGGGGGCCGCGTGGTGGACTATGCCCTGATACCCTCTATATAGAGGAGGCCTTTGCCCAGCAGTGGGACATGTATAAGCTGTTACTTTACTTTTTTTTTTACTTATACATAATTACAAGCAATCTTGCCATCTCCAGATGGCTAAAAACTATTTAGCTACTTTTTAAATTGCAGTTTGGTTGTAGATTTTTCAATTACTAGTAAAATAAATACTATCTTTTTAAACAATTCGACAAATCATACAAAATAATTATTATCTTTGACTTTGAAACTATAATACAATGTTAATATTAGGTGTTTAATTTTATTGATAAATTTCAATTTAAGGTTTTAAAATTTACCTTTATTTTCAATAAACAATTCACCATTTCATACAAAACATTTTGCTAGATGTTCAATATAAAGACTTTCTCTTTTATACAAAATGTTGTAAGGTTTTAATTTTAGTCCTAATTATAATTATTATTGGGCACTTTTGATTTCTTTTGTATTTTTGGTCAGTTTAAATTTGAATTTATCAACTAGCTACACAAACAAAATTTTTTTTTCCTTTGTAAAACTCAAATTACTTACGTCAATTGCATCACCAATTGTGTTTCACTTTCATTCGATTTGGATACTGCAACAAGTATAAGTGGACCTTTCACTAAAAATACTGCTTTACAGTCCTTAGTGCTAATAGATCTTAGGATATCCTGGTTTTGATCTTCAACTACACTAACAAGAGCTTGGATGACCCCACATAAGCCAGCCAATTTATCTTCATTACCATATCTAGAATGAATGTATGAAATAAATTAGAGATGCAGTTGTACAGGCTTATTATCCAGGTCCTCAAATTTTAATTCAATAAACGAGAAAGGAAAATAAAAAAATCTAAGTTTGAAACTTATTGTGTGATTGATGTATGCATAGACCATAATTTTAAGTTAAAAATTAATTTTCAATAATATTGGATACACTCTTCTAAATTCTATTTTTGTACAGCATATTAATTGCCAGAACAGTGTAGTTAAGTAAAACAAATAAAATATTCTTGTTATGTACCATGTTTAATTGTGACATAGGAAAGTTTATGCTGAGGCCAATCATTAAGTCCATTGTAATTAATGCCTACATTACTCTAAAATACTTTTAATAACTTATGTAAAAATAATTTTACTTAACCTTGAATATATTGGTTTTCCTGCAGTACTCAATATGAAAACATGTTTCTCTTTGTTAACCAGTTCCGGTGACTGTAAATATTCATCTTTATCATTACAAACATCTTCTCCATTTTGTTCTGTTATATTTGAGGTACTAGCAGATGAAGACATGGCTTCCTGGAAATAATTTATAAATAATGAAGTACGATAAATTAATAATAATAATAAAATAAATATTTGTGAAGTTACTTTAATTAGTTTAAAAAAAATAATGCAGTAAATGTAAGCGATGAACACATTTTTGAACCACATTTTTATTTTGAATAACAATTTACTTAACTAAATTGTGGTTTAAGGAAATGCAGGCATCGATAGTAATATAAAAATAAAAAATGTTAAAAATGTAAAAGAAACTTACATCTTTACTTTTTAAGTCATCGCATGATTTAACTGTTTTTATATCTTTAGAGGATTCGCCAATCTCACTTTGGATTTCACTAATTGTACTGCTTTTAAGAGTAAGAGTGGAATGCCTTTCTATTGGGTCGGAGCTCATTTCAGACTCGATTTCTTCAAATGTATCAGTTGGATTAAGTATGCTCTCTGGACAAGCTCCTGGTCCCAAATCATTCTCCAAATCTTCCTGATTGGTAGCGTTTGATGAGAATGTATCCTTAGACGTTGATGCCATTATCGGATCTTATGCGTGTTTAACGTTAATAAAATTAGTTTAGTAACACCTCTCTACATTAACTGTTTTGAGAACACTAAAAACGTCAACAATGTGACATTGACAGTTGACATTGACAATTTGACAGTTCAGTGCTTCTATGTTCTTTAATTTTAACAACAATTGCAGGGCTGCTAAATCAAGTACACTTATTTTGCGTATACTTCCTCATTTCCCTATATACAAAAGTACTCTGTGGTATACGTCCCATTATGTATACTTCACGTTATTATATAACTATGCTAATGTCTATTTTGTGCATATTTCGTAAATATACTCGCCCATCACTTGAAACCGCTTTAAGTGATACAAGACCACATCTCGGCGGCTAACTGACGATATAAAATAACAACTCTAGCAACTAGATCTGTAAAGGCCCCTAAGGCCAACAGTGGCAGATTCGGCAAAAAAAAATCGGAGATGTCTGCAGCTGCGACGTTTCACGTTGAATTCGATTTGTGTCGCCATGTGATTGGTAAAGAATGAAGCGGAAATTGAAGATAGAAAAATATAACGGCTTTTCTCAGAGTTTCTGCTATTTTGTTTCTTAGTCCTTATCAGGGCTACACTGATAAGATAAAAATAACTTTACAGAACTGTTCTATTCCGGTTTCGCGAATAAAGAACGTCGTTCGTGCACTTACCATATGGTGTTGTGGGACGGTAGCGGGAGAATTAAATAGTTTAACGCGTGCGTCAAGACACCACCGGGACGGCTTAAACGTTTATTAACGGCGAAATCCGTTTCGGAGGGTAGTTCGTTTTAAATTTCTTATCGATGCGTCTTTTACGGAAGGTGGATAGAGTACTAATTTATAGGTCACGATGGAATTTGGCGTTCCGTATATACCACGGGCCGTTTTCGAGACTAAAGGATTGATTATAAATTAATCTTAATTAATAGTTTTAATATATTAAAACACGTCCTTAGCGGTGAAGGAAAACATCGTGAGGAAATCTGCATATTTTCAAAATAATAACAAAAGAATATTTCGAAAATATGTGAAGTCCGCCAATCCGCAGTGGGGCCGCTTGGTGGACTATGCCTTGACACCTTCTATACAGAGGAGAGGTTTGCCCTGCAGTGGGACATATATAGGCTGTTACTTTTTACTGTACGGTTTTTAAGTCATTGGCGTATGTCAAGTATGCGCCAAACAGACGCTCGCATGTGTCATTATAGAATACATTTTTCCTATAATTAAACTTTGCATTTTAGAGTCATTTTCCTTGACCTGAATTTTGATCAACATCATTTATCTAAATATGAATAAATAGTAAATGAACAACATGTGTGATTTTAAATTGTAAATTCTTACAGATAAATGAACAAAAACTGTCAGAGCTGCGGGATTCAAACCTACCTCTTCTGATTTCGCGGCCAAACGCTTTACCAACTAATCTAAGCGGCCGATGACCTGGTGATATTGGCAATCAAGCAACATAAAATTTTCCTATACATACTAACAGACAGATTATACACAATGAGAGCGATGAAGGGTCCCCGATGAAACCTTTCACTTGTACCTACTGCCTATTATAAAGTTAAAATCCCTTTTATTTGGACTTGTTTAAAATCGTTAGAAAGTTTGATATTTAAACGTTTGTCCCTTCCACACAGATTTTTTTTTAAATAGCCTTTATGCTTTGAACAAACCCCGTTTTAATTGAATTTTGCACGAACCTTATTGTTTAATCTTGATTTTCTTACAAATTTATTAATTATTATACGTTGAATTTTTTTAACAAGTTTAACTAATAATTTAAAATATATTGTACTACAATAATAGTTACTTGTTAAATGAAATTATTTTACGAATTTTATGGCGTTTTATTTTTAAAGTAGCTGCAAAAAGATAATAAGTGTAAAGTTAAGCCATCCATATAGCTTTAAAATAAACTTGAATCATATAGATTATGGTTTTCACTACAAATATTGTTCCGAAGAAAGACGCAGTTGCAAAATTGCGCGACTGTTTTTCACCGACAGACAGCGCATTTTTCATAGTGCGCTAACCGACAGACCAAGGTTTAAGTGCTGCCCGCGACTACGTCTGCGTAGAATAGGGTGAAGACGTAACATTCAGACAGAAAGACAGATATACAAAAAATTGTATATAAATTATAGCCTGTGTCCTTCTGATGTATAAGCTATATTATTGTAAATTTTCATTAAAATCCAGTCAGTAGTATTTGCGTGAAAGAGTAACAAACATCCATCCATACATACAAACTTTCGCGTTTATAATATTAGTACGGATTCCCGATAATTCGAACCCTTTCTAGCGTTAATAAAGGCAGACTGAGATGTTTTATGTCAGAGTTAACCCGGGCCACCGTCAATTTTTTTTTTCCGATCTACACAAAAGGAGCTTATGGTATCTTGAGGTCTTGCAGTTTTTGTATGCTTAGATTAATTTTTATAAATTATAGGGTCCCAAGCTGATGATAAAACACAACCATCTTCTCTCTATTAAAATTAGGATAATTCTTTATTTCCACAGCGTCCCGTTTCATCATGTTACGTAATTATGTAACATTATTTTAAAGTGAATCTCATGAACTTTTCCCTTATTAGGAGGAATTCAAACCGCATGCCGCGGCTCGATAAACAACACAAGGTAAAATTTTAAGAATCCCCTTGTGAAATATTTATTTTTGATAAAGATTGAAAACATGCTTTTTAATTTGTCATATTAAATAATACTAAATTATTCTAGTAATGCACGGTGCATTACTAGACTAGAATCAACAATTATGAGATTAAAACTATTTACAAAATTAATGTCAGATGTCTAATGAGATATTCCAATTAAAAATGGAATTACGTACTGAACTATGTCAAATGAACCGTTACTTTTGTTTTCACATGCCCTTTGGCAGATTAAGTCCCCAGCTTCAAAGTTCTACAAATTCCATATTCAAAGATTAACTATTTTGCATTACGGAAGTTTGCGTTCAATAGTGGTTACGCATGTCAACTAGGTAATTTCTAATCCCACTGTTATTGTACTGTGAATTTGGTGGGAAAGCTCGAAACTTTAAATAAATGAACTTAATATCTATAATATTACTTTATCATATTATTTCAAAAAATATCTAAGTGTACGCATAATATAAAAGTATATTGTACATTTTAAAATTATTCGTTTATTTAAAAAGTTTAAAAATCTTGAAAAAAAGTATGTCAAGATTTTACCCCTGGTGGGACTCGAACCCACAATCCCCGGCTTAGGAGGCCGATGCCTTATCCATTAGGCCACAGGGGCTATTATAAATCAAGGTTTAATTACTTATCATATACGGTTAACTGCGCAAATATTACTTCTCTAATTGTATTATGAAATATATTACACATTTTACAATTATCAACAAAATAATTTAATTTTCCCGCAACTTTGCTTTGTCGCACATTTTTTTTTCTTATAGCATTTAATTTTGCACGAAAGCGCTTCTCGTAAATTTATGATGCTTTAACACATATTCACATTGAGATATTTTAAGATCACAAGATGGCAATTGGTGGTGTTGAGCTTTTTTGCTATTACATATTTATATATGACTGTAATAAATATGTAATAGTCATTATCATATTTTCATGCAATCTGAGATTCCAAAGGGCGAGATTATTTTAAAAATTGACGACATTTTATCGAAATCTTCCGGTCGCTAAATGGAGAAACTTAAAGTATTTTTTCAAGAAAGACTTTTGAAAGATTCTTTAAATTTTGTCAATGGGCTTCGGTGTGTTCGATGTAGGGTGCTCACAAATCCCCTTTTTTATTTAATAGTTACTTTTCTTATAAATTTACATTATATCCAAGAGTTTTAAGATGTTCTTTAAAAACTGGGTTGTCAGAAGGTATCCAGGGCATAATGCTTAACCGTTTTTTGGTATAATGGCAAAAAATGAATAACTTTCACATCGAGGATCTTTCATTCAGTACCGCTACATATATTTTAAGTTTTGCATGTATCCATTGTGCTTAGATACCGTGAATAAACGTCTTCTTCTTCTTCTACATATTGACCGAAATACTGATCAATGACTTTTTAAAAATCATGACTTACCTTTTATTATATGGTTATGTTATCTTGGTGCATTAAAAACTCAATTGCTAGAATACCAAACACCTGTAATAAAATATTGTGCAATATTGACTTTTTTGTAAACTCTGGACGAACGTTTTGTAAATCAAGTGAGATACTAATACATGATGGTTTGAGAGTAATACATTTACATTTCCCTTGACTTATTCATCCATATGTATGTTTGTGTAAGTGTGACCATACACATACATAAACATATCTTAAATTTTATATCTCTTTTGTGAACGTATATGCGTTGTTATGTTATTTATAAATATACTTATAAGTGTCATTCTCCTGTTTTTTTTGGTAACAGGGCTTGGGGGGTGGGAGGGTGCCAGGTTCTCTTAGAAACATTATCCACATTATGAAATAAAAAGGATATAAGTGTATTTGTATGTGGTGTGCTATACGTGTGTATTTTATACATTGCGTTTTACGCCATTAATAAGGTGTTTGTAATTAAGAATAAATGAACAAGTGTCATGGTTTGCTCAATTGATTTTATACTGGAGTCGGAATTTCGAGAGGATAATAATTGGATCCGAACACGGGAATCCGTTTATATTACAATTTTATTTGACATCTTGCAGTCAATTGCGATCGATCTTGCCGCATTGTTAAATGAACTAGGTATCGGGTATCGTAAAGACTGGTCTCGAATGCTGCAATTCGTGTTTAAATTGCGATATCTCGAAATGCAGATTTTATTAGCCTATTCGTTTCGCTCGGTATCCCTTTAAACAGTCGATGAGAGACAAATCTGCGTACGTGACGCTTTCACTTTATTGCCCTTAAAAGAGGGCGGGCGAAGTTTAATGTATTACAAATTTACATGATAAGTAAGAGGCCTTAGGCGTTTACGATATGTG